ATCTTAGCTATTGTAAATTGTGCTGCTATAAGGCTGCATACATTCTTTCTGATTGGTAATTTGGGTTTCTTAGGATATACCCTGTTTCCCCGAAAATAAGACAGTGTCTTATATTAATTTTTTCTCCCAAAGTTGCGCTAGGTCTTATTTTCGGAGGATGTATTATTTTTGGGGAAACACGGTATTCCTAGAAGTGGGATCACTGGGTCAAATGACAATTCCGTATTTAATTTCTTGAGGAAACTCCATACTGTTTTCCATAATGGTTGCATCAGTCTACGTTCCCTCCAGCAGTGTACTGGGTTCCCTTTTCTCCACATCCTCACCAGCATTTGTCATTTATTGATGGTAGCCATTCTGACAGGTGTGAGGTGATACCTCATTGTCGCTTTAATTTACATGTCTCAGATGATCAGTGACTTCAATGCCATTTGGCTTTTATATGAGCCTATGTCCTCTACTTTGACCTTTATTGCTTTTTAAAAGAATACTTGGAGCTCTATTTGCTGCCTTTGTATTATTTTCCAGTTTCTCTAGAACTCGGAATGGGAAGTGGGATGCTGTTCCTCAGCCCCCTGAACGACCCTAACATTGTGAACATGATAATCATGACTCAGTAGAACACTAGTGATTATCTCCCAAAATGTCCAGTCATCCCATGGACAAGTGTGTGAGTTACATTTAAGTTTAACACGTAAGGTTCTATTTTCTGCTCTGTATGTCAGCATTATCACCCTGAGGGTGACAATCAGCACCGCTGTTTTTATGAATCCCCATACTACTGAGTAGATTATGTAACATGGCCCCTATTCTTTCTAAAGCTGCCACTTAAAGTCGAACTTAAAGTCAGCTAAATATTCCTCCCACAAAAAGGGTTTACTTGGGAAAAAGAGAATTGCAGTTGGGAACATGCAGCCATGGCAAGTCATGAGCATCTTCACTAAAACAAGGAAGAGTAAAGTTTTTTTGTAGAGGGGAAGAGGAGTTAGGACTGTTACCAAGAGTTCTTCCTGTAGTGTGTGAGAGCTCCCCCTACAGGCCTTCCAACTTCCAATCTTGGTTGAGGTCTCAATGAATTCTTTTACACAAGTTTTGGCTTGAGTTCTTGCTGAACTGGGAAAGGAAGCGGGACTCAGCGATGCCATTACATGTGTGATTTGTTGTCTCCTTAAGCTTTAGGGAGAAAAATGAAATATTTCAGTTGGATGGCAAAATTTAAGGAAAGAAGACAAAACAAACATGAGGGGAAGAGAGTCAAACTTCTCACAAGTGTTGAATTCAAAAGTAAAAGGAGGAGGAATCCTGGACAATTTGGTAAGATGCTCTCTTTTTTTCCTCGCTGTCTACTGAAACTCTTGAGTAGAATGATGCTGCTACTGCTACTGTTGGTATTTGGAAGTGAACTTGTTGTTTATTTATAAAGGACTTACCAAGTACCAGATATATGATCAATGCTTAGCATGGATCATCTTACTTCATCATGGTTACAACAGGTCCTGACAATGATAGCTAGATCTGAGGTAGGTGATATTATCACCATTTTACACAGGATGAAGCTGGAGATCAGAGAGGTTAAGTAACTTCTCAGACCACACAGCTGAAAACACTTAGAAAATGATCTGAACTCACCGAGGCTCATTCAACCCATTATTCCTCAGGTACTCAGCATTGTTTTTAGTTGTAAGCAACCAAAACCAACTATGGTAGATTTCAGCAGATGAGGAATTTATTAAAGGGGCCCTGGACTGCTCACAGAATTGCCAAGAGCTGGAGAGCCAAGCGTGGAAGCTTCCTAGCAGGAGCAACAGTCAGAATAAAGCTGCTCTGCTGCCATTGCCGTTGCTGTGTTCTAGATACCTTAGCTTGTGATGCTAAGTCACAGGGGCTCCATCTTGCTGCAGCCACCGCAGTCCCCAGAGGATCTAGAGTCCCTGCTTCTTGGCATTACTACTTCTGGATTCAAAGCCTAGGCATATGTCTCCGATGAAGGAGGCGTGAGTGCATGGGCTGCTCTCGGGCTGCTAGAGTGATGAGAGACACACTCCCTCACTAACATCGTCTCTTCTGGGTGGTGGGCTTTGTTCCCCAGACTCACGATGAGGAAGTCCCTAAACGTGATAAAGACGGTCACAATGCTGGGCAGCCACAGGAACGACAAAGGATCATCCATCCAGCACTCACTTGGCAACAAAACCTGACTGAACTGATAGGAAGCACCTAGTTTTATAAGTAATTTTTAAATGTAATATATGATTATAACTACATTATAATTTTAGTTATTCCACTTACTGTGAAGATCAATCTGTTTATCGGTTTATCAATGTTTGATAATGGCATGTTTTCCCAAGCCCTCCAGGGGAGGGAGAGGAAGAGGTGTTACCTAATATTGGGTCCATGTACTGCACTGTCTTTTTTTAAAATTTTTATTTTATTTTATTGATTTTGTACAGAGAGGAAAGGAGAGAGATAGAGAGTTAGAAACATCGATGAGAGAGAGTCATCGATCAGCTGCCTCTTGCACACTTCCTACTGAGGATATGCCTGCAACCAAAGTACACGCCCTTGACCGGAATCGAACCCGGGCCCTTCAGTCCTTAAGCCGATGCTCTATCCATTGAGCCAAACCGGTTTCGGCTGCACTGTCTTTCTAAAAATCTTAAAATTACGAACTTCGAAACGTGTCTGTACTCAAGAGTAATGGATAAGGGACTCTGGATTGTGTCTGAACTGGGGTTTGACTGGTGAATAGAATTCAGATGTTTGGAGATATGGAGCGGATTTTAGGGAGAAAAAAAAAAAGCATCATCCCACACCAGCTTGGGTTTAGGCGTGCCATTATCCAACCATTAAATATGCTTTAAAAGCAGAGAAGACCTGTATTACTGATAACTATTTTCCCTTAACTCATGATTCATATACAACTGGAGGGTTGGGCTTTCTGGGTTTGATTCCCCGCCCCCTCCCCCTTCCCCCACTCAGTATTAATCCCCTCCTTCTCCCACAAATCACCTGACTTCCCTGAAAACTCTGTAACACACCCTTTGGCTGAAAAAGAACATTAGGCAATCGGTGAAATTCCCCATTCCTCCTTTCCCCCCCTCTGTAGCCCTGGATAGAGGAATCGCAGGCCTGAGAGTCATATGTAATTCTTGTTTCAAAAGCAGAGGGAGCTCTAAGATCAAGGCTGAGTTACCCTTTCCCATGTCCTGGTCTCCCAGCCCCCTCTTGTTTAGGTCAGGGAATTTCAGACATGCACACTGGGGTAGAGAATCATATCACCAGAACCAGGACAGGGAAGCCGGCAGAGGTTCCTGCAGAGAGAGCATCCAGGCCCCGTACTTCTCTCCCTGGGAGCCGGCAGGGGCGCCCAGCATGCCCACTGACAAGAGAGGGGACTGACCCACTTGCTCCCCTCAGCTTCTGAAGGTAAAAACCTTAAAAACGAAGAGCAGAGCTTTGATAGAGGCGAAAGAGAGGCAGAAAACTTTGCATACAAAGGTTTGGGGCAAAGATGGAGGGTTGGAAAGAGCAGAGTAAAAAGAAGGCAAAATATAGATACTGAAACCTATTTCTCTTAGGTACTTCATCCACCCTCACGTCACCCCACTGCTTAGTACTGTTTTCAGGATTTACATTTGGTCTACCCCACCCCTTTGGCAAAACTTTTCTGTGGAAAGATGATAGCTTGTCTTTTTTAGCGAAAGGGGAAACCTTGTCTCCTGGACAATTAATGTAGAAAATTGAGGGAATAACTTTCTACTTTAAAATATATATATATTTTATTGATTTTTTAAAAATATATTTCATTGATTTTTTTACAGAGAGGAAGGGTGAAGGATAGAGAGCTAGAAACATCTATGAGATAGAAACATCGACTAGCTGCCTCCTGCACACCCCCTACTGGGGATATGCCCACAACCAAAGTACATGCCCTTGACAGGAATCGAACCCAGAACCCTTCAGTCCGCAGGCCTACGCTCTATCCACTGAGCTGAACTGGTTTTGGCAAGGGAATAACTCTTTTCCTTTTATGTTTATTGTCATCCAGCTACCCCTTTTTCCTTCCCCACCCAACCCTGTCTTAGACCAGTTCTCCCAAGGTCACTGCCTACTCTAGTGAAAGAAGCTCTTGCTCTATCAATGCTCTTTGGAAGTATCAATAGAAATGCATGCAATAATAAATATAGTAAAGACAAATATAGTAAAGGTTTGAAGTGGTAGGAGAATCACTGTCAAGAGAGAAGGGAGAGCATGCCTTAGATGAATGGGTACAATGGGGAAAGATTCCTGAAAACGTGAGTGGAAATGGTGATATAGTTCTGTGAGGGCAGGAGAGAGACTGATGAAGTTGGGGCTGGGATGGGGGGTGGGGTGAGCTGAGGGTAAGGAGGAGATCAGAGGAGGAAGAAAACTGAGATCAAGTGCTCATTCTTTTTTTTTTTTTTTTTTTTTTTACAGTGCAAGTGCTCATTCTTTTGTGTGTTTAAAAAAATATTTTTATTGATTTCAGAAAGGAAGGGAGAGAGAGAGAGCGATAGAAACATCAAGGATGAGAGAGAATCATTGAGCGGCTGCCTCCTGCATGCCCCACACTGGGGACTGAGACCACAACCTGGGCATGTGCCCTTGACCAGAATCAAACCTGGGACCCTTGGGTCCGCAAGCCAACACTCTATCCACTGAGCCAAACCAGCTAGGGCAGTCCTCATTCTTTTGGAGAAAAACTGGGATAAAGTCCAGAGAGCAACAGGAGAAGGATATGATTTCATTTTAGTTTAGAAAGTTAATTGAGGTAGAACCAGGGAGAGTGTGAGGAGATAGGTAGGGATCATATGATGGTGATATAACTGTTTAACCTGTGTGTTATTCTTATGAAGGCAACACTGAACACAGGTGACTCTCCAAAGCAGTTGCCTGTGTTTGTTAGACAAATACAGCCAGACCTGCCTCCACCCCCTTTAGCTTCAAAGTCCAGAGGTGCTGACAGCCAGGTCCAAGACATGTGTTGCTCACCAGGGATGGACAAATTGCCAACAATGTGGTAAGTGACCATCAGTCTGCAGAGATGTGCATGGACTCCATTCTCTTCATCTTCTTAAGAAAACAGCTCAATTCTGAAGCCTGGGTTTTGATTTGATCTATGCCTCTTTATTTAATTCCAACTCAAGACTCTCCTCCCCATACTGTGCTCCTTGTCTCTCTGACAAATGCTGGAGCTCTGCACTAGTCTGCTGTACTGGTGTCACCCATCTCTTCATATGCTTTTTTATTTATTTATTTATTTATTTATTTATTTATTTATTTATTTATTTATTTTTTAGGTGCATTGTCCTGTTTTCCATTTTGCCATGGGTTTATGCCGAGCCTACTATGTATGGGGAGATACTGTCCCCAAACTATCCTCAGGCATACCCCAATGAGGCAGAGAAAACTTGGGATATAGAAGTTCCTGAAGGGTACGGGATCCATCTCTACTTCACCCATCTGGACATAGAGCTGTCAGAGAATTGTGATTATGACTCGGTGCAGGTATATTATAATAAGCACATACGGGATAGGGCTGGGGGAATCAAATAAGATGGAGGAGGGAGTGCCACAGGCATAGGATGATCTGGAATTAAATAATCATAAGGTGGTATGTGTTCTACTCTCCCTGTCCCTTTCCCTCTAATATCTGTATCAAAGTATTTCCCTTTTCCAGCTTTTTTTTAATTCTTCTCTTAGATAATATCAGGAGGCGTTGAAGAAGGGAAAGTCTGCGGAAAGAGGACCAGTAAGAATCCCAACTCCCCAATCGTGGAAGAGTTCCAAGTCTCATCTAATCAAATCCAGGTGATCTTTAAGTCGGACTTCTCCAATGAAGAGCGTTTCACTGGGTTTGCTGCATACTATGTTGCCATAGGTAAGGCTCAGCTTTCTCTATTGACTCATAGATCCAGTTAAGGGAAGCAGGATAGACGTTGAGCAATGCAGTGAATAAAGAGCATTTATAACTCTTAAAAAGTGTTGACTTGCCTTGGATTTCTTTATGAGTTGCCTTTATGAAATCCAAACACATGATCATATATTAGGAGTGATGATGATACTGTTAACAATAAATAATAAACATCAATGTATTGAGAACCATTATGAAGCAGGCACTGTATAAGGAATTTTACCTATATTAATTTTATCTTCACCTCAACTTTTCCAGGTAGATATATAATCTCCATTTAAAAATAAGGAGAGTGAGGACAAAGAATATTAAATAACTTGCCAAGACTCACGCAAGGAATGTGTGCTATTCAAACCCATTCACTATATGGCCAACAAACCTTCAAATTCTGTGTGCTTCTACATACCCAAAATAAAGTTAGAACATCTCAAAAAGCCAAACTATTAGATTAGACAGAAGTACCAACATCATACAAAGTAATAAATGTATTCATTGTTTGTCCCTGCAGAAGACATATCATCATGTTTAGCTTGTGGAGTATTTTCTTTGGAGCCGAAATGCTCGTTTATGAGAAGGGTCAAGGGTCTCTGGCAGTGAGAGCTCCCTTATAGCTGTACAACGCTAAGGCACAACTTGGGAGTTACGTTTCAAGAGAGCAATATAAAATAATACCCTGCTGAAATGTGATTTACCGAAGGTCTTTAAACAGCAGTCCTTTCTTTAAAAACTTTTCTTGCCCTTGACATTTTGGGTTTAACCTCACTCTTCTTTCTAGGTCTTTTGCCCCTGACCTCAACCTTTCTCTACTTTTGTAGATATCAATGAGTGCACAGACTTTTCAGATGCCCCTTGTAGCCACTTCTGCAACAACTTCATTGGTGGTTACTTCTGCTCCTGTCCCCCAGAATACTTCCTCCATGATGATATGAAAAATTGTGGAGGTCAGTTTGGCATTGAACGGGTGCATAGTCCCTGGGATTTGGATTGGCTTGAGGCTTCGGTTTTAACTACCCTTCCAATTTATTTTTATTTTTATTAGTTTCAGCCTTGATTTGGCATCTATTCTTAGTTAGCTAAGAGGGGGTTGGAGGGCACAAGAGTGGAAGATGACAAGGTTCCAGAATCAAGTTAATTAATTGGAGAAGAGAGTTAGATGCCTTTGAAGAGTCACTATCTGTGGCTCTTCTTCACTATGAAAGGCTCTATCACAAGCAATGTGATGGAAACCCAATAGGCACAGGGTATGTCCACTAATATGTATTGGGTATATACTTGCTGCCTATGAGCTCCAGACGGGGACTGTCAGTTTATAAGAGGAATCATAGATAGGGTAGGAACTCCTTTGCTTAGCCTGTATTTGATTTCTCCTTTCTCTTTTTTCCCCCTCTTAGTTAATTGCAGTGGGAATGTGTTCACTGAACTGATTGGGGAGATCACAAGTCCCAATTATCCTAATCCATACCCAGAGAATTCAAGGTGTGAATATCAGATCCTGTTGGAGCAGGGTTTCCAAGTGGTGGTGACTTTGCGGAGAGAAGATTTTGATGTGGAACCAGCTGATTCAGAGGGCAACTGCGTTGACAGTTTAGTTGTGCGTGATAGATGATTAATTTTCCTCCTAACTCACACAGAGAAATTTCTTTTTGAAGATAAATTATTTTTCCTCCTTTCCTTTCTCCCCCTACCCTTTGTTTTATTTTATACTATTTTTATTTATCTCCCTTACTTTTATTCTCTTCGTTTTACCTCTTTCTTTTTGTCCTTTCTCTCTTCTGATTTCATCATGTTGTGTCCTTTCAGTTTGTAGCAAGAGACCAGCAATTTGGTCCTTACTGTGGAAATGGATTCCCTGGGCCACTAAATATTGAGACCAATAGTAATGCTCTTGATATCATCTTTCAAACTGACCAAACAGGACAGCAAAAGGGCTGGAAACTTCGTTATCGTGGAGATCGTGAGTAATCTAAAAGTTGTTCTTTGGTTGGCTATAAAAAGTCCCTGGACAATATAAAACCAAATCAGGTAGATTGTTGTAGAGAGGAGTATTCTGATTACTCTCCATTACTCAGCAAGATCTAGACCTGTCAGTGGTTGCTAGAAATGCCTCAATATCTAGGAATACTTCAACTAGACCTGTGAATGAGGGGCAGTTAGTTAGTAATGCCTTATTATTTTAGACTAGAGGCCCAGTGCATGAAATTCATGCGGTGTGTGTGTGTGTGTGTGTGTGTGTGCGCGCGCATCCCTAAGCCCAGTTGGCACCCTCTCCAATCTGGGATCCCTCGAGGGATGTCTCTCTCACCATCAGGTCTGTTGGTTCTCAACTGCTCGCCTGCCTGCCTTCCTGATTGCCCCTAACTGCTTCTGCCTGCCAGCCTGATCACCCCCTAACCACTCCCTGCCAGCCTGTTTTCCCCTAACTGCCCTCCCCTGCAGGCCTGTGTCCCCCTCCCCCAACTGCCCTTCCTTGCAGGCCTGGTTGCCCCCGACTTCCCTTCTCTGCTGGCCTGGTCACCCATAACTTCCTTCCACTGTAGGCTTGATCACCCCCAACTGTCCTCCCTTGCAGACCTGGTCCTTCCCAACTATGCTCCCCTGCTGGCCATCTTGTGATGGCCATCTTGTGTCCACATGGGGGCAGCCATCTTGTGTGTTGGAGTGATGGTCAATCTGCATATTACTCTTTTATTAGATAGAATAGAGGCCTGGTGCACAGGTGGAGGCTGGCTGGTTTGCCCTGAAGTGTGACCTGGATCATGGTGGTGGTTCCCTTGGGGTGTGGGGTGGCCTGGATGAGGGGCCTGTGGTGGTTTGCAGGCCTGCTACATCCCCCCAGCAACCCAAGCAGAGGTCCTGGTATCTGGGATTTATTTATCTTCTATAATTGAAACTTTGTAGCCTTGAGTGGAGGCCTGGGCCTGCCAGGGTGTGCAGAAAGCTTGGCTTCCTCCATTGCCAGGGAAACCCAAGCCTCCTGCTCACTCCATGGCTGTAGTCATCTTGGTTGGGTTAATTTGTATATCCACTCCTGATTGGCTGGTGGGGCGTGGCTTAGAGCATAGTGGGATGATGGTTAATTTGCATGTTACTCTGTTATTAGATAGGATATCTCCATATTGGAATATTAGAAATCAGGTTGACTGGATAATTTTACAGAGTATGAGAATGATGTAAATAGAACAGAGATTTCCCACCTATTTGGTGAATTATTTTTCCTGTCCTTTCCAAGCAATCCCCTGTGCTAAAGAATTCACTGCCAATTCTGTTTGGGAGCCACAGAAGGAAAAATATGTATTCAAAGATGTGGTGATGATAACCTGTCTGGAGGGGTTCGAAGTTGTACAGGTAAAGTACTAGTAGAGGCTTTTCCCTAATCCTTAGGTGAGGATGAGCATATTGGAATTTCCTTATTACTGAATATTCTTGTTTGAGCATAAACAGAACCTTCCTTGGAGTCATAGAGCTCTTGGCCAGCCTGGCATTCTCTCTGTGCCCTCAGTCCTCCTGGGGAAGGGGAGCTGATACGCTGGGGCAAACTTGTCTTTTAGCCCCGACTCCTGGGTGCTTTGGGTCATTCTGCTAAGATGTCCCCGAGGTTTTTGTGGTGAAGATTCCTCTTTGATTCAAGGCCAAAGATTGATTCAATTTTTCATTTTAATTCCCCATATCCCTCCTTATAAATTAATGGTGATGTCTATCTTTCTCTAGGAAAGTGATAGCTTGAGATATTTCTATTCTACTTGTCAAAGCAATGGAAAGTGGAGTAATTCCAAACTGAAGTGTGAACGTATGTATTACTTTAAAATGGGACTTTTTTTTTTTTTTCCTCCTAAAAGAAATAGAAAGATCAGCACATCAAAATTCACATGTATAGTTTCCTTTCAGGCTTGTGAGAGTGGGTTGGGTTTTTGAAGGGAAGCAATCATGAAGTCCCAACTCTGTGTGGTCCCAGGACAAACTGGCAGATTGCTTAAAAAAAAAAAAAATAGAGGTTTGTAGAGTTAATAGCACCATATGGGTCCATTCATGGCTTCTGCAGGAGCTTCAACCAACCATTGAAAATCAGATTCTTCCTTGTACCTTTCAAGGGGCTAGTTGAAGTGAAAGGAGGGAGTGATCCCAGTTGGAGAGCATGACTACAGAGAGGCTGGTGTGGAGAAGGATTCCAGGTGTACTGATGGATGTAGGAGTGGAGCAGAATGAAGGACATGGCTGGGAGGAGAGAACTGGCCTAATGACCAATGACTTCCTGGGAAGAGTGTCTATCCTGATCATCACTCTCCTGCCTTCCTCTTGTAGCTGTGAACTGTGGCTCTCCTGACCCCATTCAGAATGGTAAAGTTGAAGAACCAGAAGATACTATATTTGGTTCCGTTGCTCGCTACACTTGTGATGAGCCATATTACTACATGCAGAATGAAGAAAATGGTAGGTTTTTGTTTTGTTTTTACTAGAGAAGAGAGAGAAAGGGTGACATAATCTTTCTATGCTGGAGAGTTTGGATAGAAATGAAGGAAATACTCTTGGCTTATTCTAAATACATAGTTTTCATATGGGACAAGGTAGGTTCCATCGGATTATTTATAGTGAATCATAGAGATCACCTAGCTCAGCTTCACAACTAGGCAGGAGTTCCCCCTACAATATCCATCTTTATGTGATTATCCAGTGTTTGACCAATTATGTAATGTAGAACCACAGGAGTAATACTTCCAGCTTCAAGTCACCATGCTATGATGACTGGTTTTCTTGATGGAGTAGCCATGGTAGTGCTAGAGGAAGGACTGGATGAGACATAGTTTGTTCCACTTCATTGTTTTTTGTTTTTTAAAAAAATATATTTTATTGATTTTTTACAGGGAGGAAGGGAGAGGGATAGAGAGCTAGAAACGTTGATGAGAGAGACACATTGACCAGCTGCCTCCTGCACATCCCCTACTGGGGATGTGCCCATAACCAATGCCCTTGACCGGAATCGAACCTGGGACCTTGCGGTCCGCAGACCGACGCTCTACCACTGAGCCAAACCGGTTTAGGCTCCACTTCATTGTTTTAAATTAAGTTAATTAATCAAAAAAACTTTCCCTCTTGAAGCGCTTTCCCAATCTCTGCCATAACCCACTTCCTTCCACTTTGGAGATGATTCTTTTCCCTCCCTAGGCAGGATAGAGGCCAGAGAAATTGTTTGGAAGTTGTTACCAAGATTTCCCCCCTAGTTTATGTGACTTAATCCCCTCCTCAAATCCCAGAGAAGCTGAGGCTCTGAATGAAAGCGGGGAATAGAAGATAGAAGATATGATGGTGAGTGTGTCCTTTGTCTCTTGTGCTATTCCAGGGGAGTACCACTGTGCTGGAAACGGAAGCTGGGTGAATGATGTGCTGGGCACAGAGCTGCCACAATGTGTTCCAGGTAATCAGGGCTCAGGCTTGGGTAGGAAGCATAGCCACTGGTACAGGTGAGTGGGGTCAACCTCGGAAAGTAGCTGTAATCCTCTTGGGAAAGAACTTAACAATCTGGGCCTACCAGAGTTCAGCTCAGTGAGGTAAAGACAAAAAAAATGAGGGGTTACAGACAGATCAGAGTTGAGCAGGAGAAGGCTCTCAAGCAAAGCCAAGATAATAATGATTCTGGTAGTAACAACAGTGTTACTATGCCCTGAGCTAGTTAATTGAATTTAAGTCCTTGCAACAACCCTACGAAGTAGGTATTATTAGTTCCATTTTACAGATGAGTGAATTAATGCAACCTCACAAAGTTAGTAAGGGGCAGGGATAGATTTTGAACCCAGATCTGAGGCCTAAGCCTGTAATGCCAATCCAGAGTCCATCAGACTGACTAGTGAGGGATTTAGGTAAGCCAACTTTACCTGAAATAACATTAATTTTTAGTAATATTGGGTAATGGCAAGTGATCAAACCTAGAACCAATCAATGGGGGAATGAAATGAAAGAAGGGAACTCTCCCTTTGCCCTATTTCCATGGATCTGTAAGAGGGACTCAGCTGTAATTAGGACTTCATTAAAGAAGGTGATAAGTGTTTGACTTGGGCATCAGACGAAGGCAGAATGCTTGCCTCTTCTACTGTCTGTATGAGAAAAGAGTTTTCCAGCCTGGCTCCCAGATGGGCCCAACCTGCTGAGCCAGGGACGAGGTCTACAGGGCCACGAGTCAAGCTGTCCACAGCGTGAAGCAGTAGTAGTTCACACACTGGCTCAGTTTACCCAGTCTTTTACCATAGCCTGTTTGTAGAATTGGCAATATGGGTTGTTTGGTCCTTAGGTATGTTCAGAACGAGTCAAGTATGGAGACGGACCAAACACAGGGTTGGCTACATTGTGCTAGAGAGCTCTGAAGCCCGGCAGGTTTTTAAATAGTTGGAGGACTTGTAGGAGCCTAGCAATCTATTTTCTGCTCCTTCCCAACCTTGTTCTTGTTCCTTCCTAGTCTGTGGAGTTCCCAGTGTGCCCTTTGTAGGAACACAGAGGATATTTGGAGGATCTCCTGCAGATATCAGAAGTTTCCCTTGGCAAGTCTATTTTGCAAACCCACGGGCTGGTGGGGCTCTCATTGATGAGTATTGGGTGCTGACAGCTGCCCATGTCGTGGAGAAAAATCGGAATCCAGAAATGTATGTTGGGACTACCTTAGTGAATTATGACAAACGGAAAAATTCCCAGATGCTCATTCCTGAACGTGTGATTATTCATCCGGATTGGACCTTCCTAGACGACCCGGACACACGGAGGGATTTTAACCATGACATTGCGCTGATACGGCTTAAAGACCCAGTGAAAATGGGACCCACTGTGTCCCTTATCTGCCTGCCAGGCAAATCCTCAGCATACGACCCCTCAATGGGAACCGTGGGACTGATTTCAGGCTGGGGCAGAACGAAAGATAGAAATTATGTTCTAAAGCTCCAAGGGGCAAAGATACCCATTACTCCTTTACAAAAGTGCCAGGAGGTGAAGGTAACAAATCCAAAACTGGATCTAAAAAGCTATGTTTTCACTGACAACATGATCTGTGCTGGAGGAGAGAAAGGTGTTGATAGCTGTGAAGGGGACAGTGGGGGGGCCCTTGTTCTACCGGTCCCCAATGAAAATAATTCCAAATTCTATGTAGCTGGCTTGGTGTCCTGGGGCCCCCAATGTGGGACCTATGGGATCTATACACGAGTGAAGAACTACATTGACTGGATAACGAAGACTATGCGGGAAAATAGTACCCCCAGTCTGGACTGATCCACACATATTTCACCAGCCTCTCCAAGGGCTAGGAACAATCTGTTGCTTTCTGTTCTTCACACCTATGATTTAAATAGAACTTGGCTGTAGGTATACATAGCTGGAGGTAGTTGATGATCATGACATAGTGTTGATCATTCAGTGTGGTCTAAATCTGCCGATAACAACATGGGAAGGGCACTGCTATCTTGCACTATTCCCCAGGGAGTCCCCTTTCCTGATAATTACCTTGTGTTACAGCCCCAACTCTGAAATTTATTATTGGGCATACCTTGATTTATTTGTTTCCTTTTCACCTGTTCAAAGTTCTACTTACTCTATCATTCTCAATGTCTACTATCTACTTGTAATAAAGCAGGTTTATAACCCAGTTCTGGCTGACTTATATCTTATTCTACATCAAGACCGCAGCACCATAAAAGGGGAGTGTAATGAGAAGGCTGTTGTGTCATGGAAATTCAGAAATCTAGCAGCCAATATGTATATACTAGAGGCCCAGTGCATAAATTCATACACGGGTGGGGTCCAGCCAGCCCAGCCCCAATCAGCAGATAGGGGCTGGGCCTGCCTGGAGGAGAAGACTGTGGGAGGTTGACCCTGCTCCTGAATTGGGTTGGGAGGACTAATCAGGAGCCAGTGCCTGGGGGAGGAGCCATGGGTGGTTGGCTGGCTGGCCCTGCCCCTGATTGGGATGGGGGGGGCAATCTGGGGTGGGGCTGGGCTGGGGGAGGGGCTCCAGGAGGTTGGCCTGTTGGCCCCACCCCCTGATCCAGTGGTTCACTGCCCACAGTGGGTGTCATAGCTACCAGTTGTTCTGGTTGTTATGGCATTCTGGTTGCTGGCTTTTTATCTAGGGGCCCAGTGCACAAATTCATGCACCTTGAAGGGAACTGTGGACCTTGAGGCTGTGGTAGGCAAAGGGGCCGGTCTCAGCCCATTCTCCATGACCCTACCCAGCCTCTCCTTCTGTGGCCCTCAGCCCCCTGTCTGTTGGCAGCCCCGCTCCTACCACTGCTGCTCCCATACGCTGATGGTGTGGAGTAGTTGGGGCCTGTGCTCTCAGTGGGTGTGAGTAGTGGCTGCTGCCCTGATCACCCCTCAGGATCAGGGGGAGATGGAGAAGCCTCAGGGGTGATCAGGGCCAGCAGCTGTTACTCACAGGCACTGATGATGCCAAGTGATCGGCACTGGTGCCAGGCACCACCAGTGGGTGAGAGCAGCAGCTCTGGCACTGGCAGCAGGTGTGAGGGCCAGGCAGAACATTGGCACATGGGAGCAAAGAATTTTCAGAACAACCGGTCGCTATGACATGCACTGACCACTAGGGGGTGTGTGCAAACCATGTCAGGCATCTGCTGAGTTGGGATGGTGGAGCAGGTGAGTGGGGGTGCCATATCAAGGCAGGGCACCAGTCGCTGTCATTGGGGTGAGCCTCTGGTGGTTACTGAAAATCCTTGCTCCCATGCACCGCGGTCCCACCCAGCACTCACACCTGCTGCAGGCGCTGGTCCCTCTTGTATCCACTGCCAGCACTGGAGCTGCCACTCACACCTGCTGCTGGTGCCTGGCACTAGTCCTGATCGCTCAGCGCCATCAGCAGGTGTGAGTGGCAGCTGCTGGCCCTGATCACCCATGAGGGCTTCTCCACCTCCCCCTGCTCATGAGGGGCGATCAGGGAAGCAGCTGCCACCCACATCTGCTGATGGCACTGGCCCTGCTCATACCTGCTGCAAGTGCTGGCCCCAATTGCTCTGTACCATCAGTGGGTGTGAGCAGGGCTGGCTCTGTCAGTGGGTGGGAGTGGCAGTGGCAGGAACGGGGCTGTCAGCAGACAGGGGGCTACAGTAGGAGGGGCCAGGATGTGGCAAATAGGATGGGTTGAGACCTGCCCCTGTGCCTACTGCAGCCTTGTGGCTCACAGTTCCAAGACATACAAATTCATGCACTGGGCCCCTAGTGTGTGTGTGTGTGTGTGTGTGTGTGTGTGTGTGTGTGTGTGTATGTGTGTGTGTGTTTGTGTGTGTGTGTACACTGAGTGAACAGATTATTATGACCTCTGAACACATAATAATCTGGCCACTTAGTTAGTTTATATTCTATATAATAAAAGGTTAATATGCAAATTCTCCCCTAGACCAAGAGTTTAACCAGCAGGCAAGCCAGCCAACTGTCCATGTCCCCTCCCCTTGGCCAGGCTAGCAGGACCCCACCCATGTATGAATTCATGCACCGGGCTTCTAATACACACACACACACACACACACACACACACTGAGCCCCTCATCCCGCCCTGCAGGCTCTGATCACAGCACAGTGAACAGGGCAAGAGGAGTTTTATGGGATTTTTTTCATATATATATACTGTGTATACACACACACACACACACACACACACACACACACACACACACACTGAGCCCTTCACCCCGCCCTGCAGGCTCTGATCACAGCACAGTGAACGGGCAACCATGGTGATCGGGGGTGGGGGTGGTGCGGTGGCGGGGTGCGGTTGGAGACTGTTGAGTGGTGGGTGGTGGGTGGCAGTGAATGTATAGTGCAGAGCAGCGGTGAGCATTGCAGGGTGGCAGTGGCGAGCTTCACGGAGCATGGTGGGGCGGTGGCGGCAAGTGTTGTGGGGTGGCAGTGCGAGTCTCAGGGCATTGCAGAGCATAGGACATGGCCCTGATCACAGGCTAGGCCTAGGGACCCTACTCGTAGATGATTTAGTGTGCTGGGCCTCTAGTGTGTGTGTGTGTGTGTGTGTGTGTGTGTGTGTGTGTGTGTTTGTGTGTGTGTGTGTATTTCTATGTATGTATTTCTAGCAGCTAATATTGAATTGTCATGAAAATGGGGAATTCAGTTTTCTCTCTCTCATTTAATTGAAATATACTGAATATTGTGGATTGCATGAACATTGTCAACACAAGATATCATATTTGAACTTATTAAACATACTTGGACTTCATTGAGAAGTCCACATAACAACAGTTAGAATTGGCTGTTTAAGTATAAAAATTTGAGGTATAAATTATTTTAATATGTCTCTGGATTAATTTTTCTTTATTACTCATTTGTATAACACAATATTGTGACTGAATAAAAAAGAAAAAAAATTCAGCATGCTCTTATTTGCTTTTCTGGTGGTTTTGGTCTATTGGCCAATCAAGCAACATTGTCATCACTGGATGGAACTCTGTAAGAAGTTATAGCAAAGCCCCCATGAGGATAAACCTAAAGACTCTTCTATTTCTTTTCCAAGGGAATGGAAAAAAATCCCATAAAACTCCTCTTGCCCACAAAATGATTACTGATGACAAATAACCACAGAATAGAGACTAGTTTTGTTTTTGTTTTGTTTTTTAACAGAGGTTAGGAGATCTAGCTCAGGTGGCAGTTGCTCTAAGAGGATGTCTTATGAAAGCTGTAGACTAAGAGTAAGAATTTTGGAGGACTCTGGTCTGTTTAATGTGACGCATACTAGTAGCTTTTAGGAGAGCAGTTTTTGTTTGTTTTGTTTTGTTAGAAGCCAAAAGGGGTGTATTTAGAGCCCATCTAAAACAGGACTTTGATCTCCCATAGATCCAAAGGGCTAAATTCAACAACTGACCTTAGATTGGAGGTTAACACATGATGAAGCAATCAGAATTCAATAAAAGGGTCTGAAGAATCAAAGGGGAATTATATAGCCTAGCCGGTTTGACTCAGTGGATAGAGCATCAACCTGCTGACTCAAGGGTCCCAGGTTCGATTCCGATCAAGGGCACATGCCCAAGTTGTGGCTCAGTTCCCAGTGAGGAGCATGCAGGAGGAAGCCAATCAATGGTTGTCTCTTATCATTGATGTTTCTATCACTTTATCCCTCTTTCTTCCTCCCTGAAATTAGTTTAAAAAATTTTAAAAACAAACTAACAAACTAAACAAAACAAAGTGGAATTATAATAGGAAATCTATGGAAAAAGTGTGTCAGTGAGTGAAACAACATAAAGCCATTCACATTTTTTTTTCTTTTTCTTTTTTATAGATAGGAAGGGAGAGGGATAGAAAGCTAGAAACACCGATAGAGAGAGAAACATTGATCAGCTGCCTCCTGCACACTCCCACTGGGGATGTGCCCGCAACCAATGTATGTGCCCTTGACCGGAATGGAACCCGGGATCCTTCAGTCCACAGGCTGACGCTCTATCCACTGAGCCAAACTGGTTTAGGCTCACATTATTTCTTAACTATAGAAGTTGAACCCCGACAAATTTGTCATTACATGTGCAATGTAATTGACATTGAACCCTGGACTACAGTTTGGGTGGGAAGAGGGGGATTCCTCTAGAGAAAAAAAGAATTGGAAAAATATTAAGACTAAGAAACATGCTCATGGTGTAGAAATTTTCCTTCTTTTTATAATTGGCTACTAAAATCTGACAAGTATCAGAAAAAAGAAGTCTACTTCAATCAGAGAGAATCTTCAGTCTCTTTGGGTTCTGCTTTTGCTGATAGGCTGAGGTACTGGTGAAAGAATTTCCTCATCACAGCTGCGTAATACAGTGACAATTCCCTGGGTCAGTGGTCGGCAAACTCATTAGTCAACAGAGCCAAATATCAACAGTACAACGATTGAAATTTCTTTGGAGAGCCAAATGCCACTTCTTCAAAATAGACTCGCCCAGGCCGTAGTATTTTGTGTGGAAGAGCCACACTCAAGGGGCCAAAGAGCCGCCTGTGGCTCTTGAGCCGCAGTTTGCTGACCACGGTCCTTGGGTGAATGGCATGGAGGGTTTCTAAATGAACTATCATCAGAGACTTCAGAGCTGGGAAGGGCTCATCATCAAGGCCTGGAAAATCACTCTTTGTGGCTTAAAGAGTATCAATTACACTGCCTGGCAAATCACTTGGGAACTGTCTGCTTCACCTGAAATTCTGGAAAGGACTGACTTTCTAAAGCAGGTGATTTGTCACATTTCTTTGGTCAGAAAAAAAATGGACTGGTGGGTCAGTTCCTCACACCAAGGAGAAAAGAAGATGCCAGGAGGCCAAGAAGACTAAATAGGAAGGAACCCAGTTGAAACTGGACTAGTCCAGAATTTTGTGACTAACGTCGCTTTTATTGTGGTTCCCTAAAATCAGAAATATATTCTGTGGTAATTTGACTTTATGCTTTCTGCATATCTATTCTTTTGTTTAAGTTAAAAAATATGAGAAAGCCATTTTTTCAGCTTTATTGAGATGTGACTGAAATAAAATTAAGATATTTAATGTTTACAATGTGATGATTTGATATACATACGTATTGTGAAAGAATTCCTTTCATCAAGTTAGTTTATACATCTGTAACCTGACATATTAACCCTTAAAAAAAATTTTTTTTTTGTGAGAACATTTAAGTTCTATTCTTTTAGCAAATTTCAATTATACAATACTCGTGGCCAGGTGCATGAAGTTTGTGCATAGGAGTAGTGGGTTTGTCCTCCTCAGCCCGACCTGCACCCTCTCCAATCTGGGACCCTTTGGGGGATGTCCAACTACTGGTTTAGGCAGTCAACATCCCTGATAGTCAACATCCTTTTCACAATCCAGGACTGCTGACTCCTAGCTGTTCACCTGCCTGCTGGCCTGATCCTCCTAACTGTTCTCCCCATGCTGGCCTCATCGCCCCTAACTGCCACTGCCTTGGCCCAACCACCATGACTTTGTCCGGAAGGATGTCTGAAAGACATCTGGTCTAATTAGCATATTACCCTTTTATTAGTATAGATTTCTGTTAGTGTATGCTTAATTTCTGAATGGTCCTTTTTCATATCTTTGACATTCTCACTAAGATCCTTGAAGGTCTCATGAAGATCCTTGAGTAATCTTATAACCATAATTTTGAACTCCGTATCTAATAGTGTGCTTGTTTCCATTTTTCATTTGTGACATGTTTCTTTGCCTTCACAATTTGGCTGCTTCCTAGTGTTTGTTTCTATGTATTAGGCAGAGCTGCTATGTCTCCTAGAATTGGTAGTGGCCTTGTGTATTAGGTGTCTTGTAGAGCCCCATCACACAGCCTTGCCAGACCTGAGCTGGGCACTCTAGGTGTGCCCCTGTGTGCTACTATCATGTAGTTGAGCCTTGATTGCTGTTGGTCTCACTGGGAGGAGTTGACTTCCCAGCCAATTGGCTGTGAGGACCAGCTGTGACTACAGTGGGAGAGCTGCTGTGCAGGAGACATCGCTATGGAGCAGAACTTGTTTCGGTGGGGCTTTGGTGCTCACTGAGTCTGCCTCTGGAGTGAGTCACTTGTGGATGTGTAAAATTGTAATCTGCTATGGTCGGAACATAAGTTATTTAGAAATATTGTTAATGATTCAAATTGGAAACAAAAACTTCACACCATTCTTCTTTTAAGGAATATATAGAAATTGGGAGGTGAGCTGTTAAAAAGCTGTTATATTTGCAACTATGTATGTGGAAAAAATCAGAATTTTCTTCATATTGTTACCATTAAAACAAAATACGGAAATAAATGATCTACAACTGCAGTTGTAAATGTGTGCATAAGCTTAATCATTCTTATTGACTCCCCCCCCCCCCCCCCCGCAATAAATACAAGTTTTAAAACTGGTCTGAGTTACTGGTTCCCAATTGAGGAGATCTCTCTTTCTCTCTCTCTCTCTCTCTCTCTCTCTCTCTCTCTCTCTCTCTCTCTTTAAAATATATATATAAAATATATTTTATTGTTTTTTTTACAGAGAGGAAGAGAAAGGGCTAGAGAGTTAGAAACATTGATGAGAGAGAAACATTGATCAGCTGCCTCTTGCACATCCCCTATTAGGGATGTGCCCGCAACCAAGGTACATGCCCTTGACCGGAATTGAACCCGGGACCCTTGAGTCCGCAAGCCGACGCTCTATCCACTGAGCCAAACCAGTTTCGGCTAAAAATATATTTTTATTGATTTTTTTACAGAGAGGAAGAGAGAGGGGTAGAGAGTTAGAAACATCGATGAGAGAGAATCATCGAGCAGCTGCCTCTTGCACACCCCCTACTGGGGATGTGCCCGCAACCAACGTACATGCCCTTGACTGGAATCGAACCTGGGACCCTTCAGTCTGCAAGCCAACGCTCTATCTACTGAGCCAAACCAGTTTCGGCTGAGGAGATCTCTTAAAGCCACAAAATAATTAGTGATTATTATTAGGCCCATATAGTTGAGTTAAAAAATATATAGACAATACAAAGATGTGTATTCTCACAAATAAAAACAACAACAACTAGACTTCTGAGGATTTCTAACATTAAATCTATAACTGTATCTATATCCAACCTATACAGGTAAAAAATTAGAACCTTTGCATTTGTTGTGAATTTAGACAATGAGAAATGTAATAAAGCATGTTTAGTCTAAGTAGAGTCATTCACGTACCTTTGGTACGTAGGATTGAATAAGTCTTTTTGTCAATAATCATGCCTGAATTGTTAGACCTTGGTTATCTTTATTTTGCACATTGATCCTATTGGTTAATGTGAGGGAAATTTATGTTTTTTTCCGATTGATTCCATTTCAGCAGTAGAGAGGGGATTGAGGGGGACAGCCTGAAGCATATGATAATTGGGTCTAGGTATAGGAAAAGTGAATTTAAGCAAAGAAGGAAAATCATCAATGAGAGAAATCTTAGAATTGGCTGATCAAGACAGACAAAATGATTAATGATATAAGATCACACAAATACTATTTGTTTATTTTTAAATTTAGACTTGTGTTTTCTCTGAGAAAAATTTCTCACCCTGTTCTCAGATGTCAGTGTGATGTGGTATGAAGATTTATAAGATATCAAGTGAAAGTCAAATTTCTAATGTCTAGTATAGTGCCAGGCACCTGGTAAATATTTGTCTAAAAATTAATAAATAATTGCTATCTTCAGTGTGTGATTTTATTGTCCTATTAGAAAGCACATTCAATTGGAAACTCTGCAAGTTTCCTAGGAATGCTGTTTGGGGGTGTGGGAATGTCAGTTTAGACCAGGATGGATTTAGGTAAAAGGTCCATCTGGCTTAAAAGTCATATTTTGAAAGAAAAAAATTTTTTTAAGCAGTAAGTCCCAACAGGGTGCTTAAAATATTTGGTAAACCAGGTTATAAACATAAATGCTGTTATCTAGGCTTTGTTCCAGTTATATAGCCCAGGCAGAGTAGGTTTAGCATCATTCTTAAGGGCTCTAGGATTTGTGGAATGGTAAGTAAGCATTGGATTTAATTTAGACTCAACAGCTGTCTGAGTCATCAACAAGGAAGTCAACCTGTCCTTGGAAGCTTCGAAGCTTTGAAGCCAGGCATTGAATTCTCTCTAGTTATGAGTTCTTATTGACTTTCTAAGTAAAATATTTTAAATATGACCTTGCTAAGTATTTTGTATATTTATTAAATACTATGTTTAACTTATTCTACATTTTGGAATTTCTCATAACATTTTATTTGGAAAGAGTCTTATACAAATATCAAATGGTAAAAATGGAAGAGGACAAATGATAACTAGAGATTGTGGATATATCTTCTGCAATCCTTGGAGGAAAGAAAGGTGACCTTTGAGTGGTTTCAGATCAAGCATGGGGATGGGAGAATAGAAAAGATAATTTATTTCACACAGTGTTTTTCTGCATCAGTGATTTTAATATGGATTCTTAGTGGTTACCAACAACTAGTCAAATAATTTTCTTTTTACACACTCTGGATTCTGACCTAGTGAATTGAGGTTTCAGCCCTCTTCCTCCATCTCTTTTTTGATCCAGTCCAGGTAATTGAGTAACTTGGTGTAGAAGCCATACCCATTGCCACATCCGATGCCCCAGGATACTATGCCTGTGGCGACCCAGCGGTCAGTACCATTATCCCTCACAGCAAAGACCCCTCCACTATCCCCCTGACAGGCATCACGCTTTTGCGTCGGGTCCCCAGCACAGAACATGCTTTGTGAGAACACATAGTTCATTTTTTTACCCCGAAGCCACTTCTCACATAAACTTCGGTCACCTACGGGCAGCCGGACAAACTTGAGCTCGGTAACCATCTTGTCTTCCGTGATCCCAAAGCCACTGACATAGCCCATTTGCTTTGTAGCATAGAAGGTCTCCTTGTCAGGGAGGCAGATGGGGAGCAGGTTGGGGCCCAGGGTGACACTATTTTCCAGTTCGAGGAGGGCGATGTCCCCCTCAAAATTCTGGGACTCATCCTTGCGGTAGTCTGGGTGGACCCTGACCCTGCGTACAGGGTGGTTTCCTAGTTTCATGATTTCTTCCACTTTTGTGTGGCCCAGGAACACGTCTATGCTGGTATTGGCTTCTGCGTTGTATCCCTTGGGGTAGAGGGTGTGGGCAGCTGTGAGGATCCAGCGGTCACCCAACAGGGCCCCACCCCCTCGCCCATAAATGTTGGTGAATGCCTGCCAGGGGAAGCTGCCCATCTCGGCGGATTGCCCTGCAATGATGCGCTGCGACGGGAGGAGGTGGACAGGGTTGACGGGTTTCCCACACACTGGAGAGGAGAGACAGCAAAGTCAAAGACAATTCCGTTCTAGGCCCGCCCCTCTGCCCTCCTGTAGTCAGCCCATTCCCCTTTCATCCTCTCTTATTGGCTCTGGGCCCTTTCCTCTGTCTCCTCCCATTCCAAGAGTCCATCTCCGGCCTATTGTCAGACTGTTCTGCTTGTTCTTGTTTATTTCTTCTTGTCTTTTTATTTATTTTTGTTGTTGCTGTTTTTATTTCTGACTTCCCATCTGCTCAATAAAATAAAAATAAAATAAATGCTGGAATGTCAGGCCTGCATCCAGTTCTCTGTATTTCTCTCTCTTTCCCTTTCTTCTGGGACATCCTCTCTTTTTCTCTCTTACTCCTCATGTCTATTTTCAACTTCAAGGTGGGGTGTCTCTCCACTCACTTTGCCTCCATTCTTTGTGGATGCTTTTTCTGATGCTCTAGTCTACAGGGTTGCAAAGTCACCAAGGATGTCTCCAGAGGGTTTCCACTCACCTGGCAAACACCGAGGAATCTTCTCTCCTTCCTGTTCATTTTTCCAAATGCCCTGGGCTGTGCAGGTATACATGCCTGTGGGGAGAAGGGGCTACGGTCAGGTTGGGAGGAGGTGGGCAGGGAAACCAGGTTGCAGAGGCCAATGAGCACTGAGTGTGTTGGGCTGAGGCAGGGGAGAATCAGTATGGGCAAGTATCAAGGAAAAGATTTAAATATATATGAGGGTGGACTATAAAAAGTGTGAAGAGACTTCATACATATACTTTTGTTTTAATGTTACATGAAAATATTGGAATACTTAACTATATGTTTGATGTGATTTTTAAAAATATATATATTTATTGATTTTTTTACAGAGAGGAAGGGAGAGGGATAGAAAATCAGAAACTTCAATGAGAGAGAAACATCCATCAGCTGCCTCTTGCAACCTCCCTCCCCCCCCCCACTGGGAGTGCACCCGCAACCAAGGTACATGCCCTTGACCGGAATCGAACCGGGGACCCTTCAGTCCGCAGGCCGATGCTCTATCCACTGAGCCAAACGGGTCTCGGCTGATGTGATTTCTATTTGTGAAAATAGAGTCCTAACCAGTTTGGCTCAGTGTATAGAGGGTCAGCCTGTGGACTGAAAGGTCCCAGGTTTGATTCCAGTCAGGGGATTGTACTTGGTTGTGGGCACATTCCAGTGGGGGAATGTATAGGAGGCAGCTGATCAATGTTTCTCTCTCCTCAATGTTTCTAACTCCTTCTCCCTTCCTCTCTGTAAAAAAAAAAAAAAAAAAAAAAAAATTCAATAAAATACATAAAAAAATAAAATAAAATAGATTTTGCCAGAGTCTTGATATCTTGCTATCTTGGTAGTGGGATTGCAGGCAATAATGGCAGCTACATTTCTGATTGCTGACAATGTGCCATGCTTGTTACTAAGCATTTTATCTCATTATCTCATTTAAGTGCCCCAGTAATATTTTCAGGTGTGCATTATTATCCTCCTCATTTTGAAGATGAGGAAACTGAACTTAAATTAGGTACATAAGGTCACATAACTTCTAAGTTTCAGAACCAAGATTCAAAGTAAGGGTTGCCTGACTTTGAAGTCCAACTCTTAAATACTATCGTATATAACACATATTTAAGATTTTTTCCCCGCATGTTTCAAACCAGAAGTAAGGGCTTTCTTTTATTTAAAGATACTATAGATGAATTTGAGAGCAATTAAGCAAAACTAACCACAGAATATCACAACATAGCAGCCTGAGGGTGTATGGGGAGAATGCTGGGGGAGGTCCCACTGATATGAATGTAGTGGTGGTGATGGTAGTAATGGTGGTGATTATGTGGTATGTTGGTAGTGATGATGGTGTTTTGTTGTTGGTATTAGTGGTGATGGTAGTGATGACAGTAGTGGTGTGGTGGTGGTGGTCATGATGGTTATGGTGGTGATGATAGCAGTGATGGTAAAGGTGGTTGTGGTGGTGATGATGATGGATATGATGGTGATGGTGGTGGTGGTGGCAATAGGGAGCTGACTGTTTATGAGATTCAAGTCTTTCTTTGTCACTCAGGTGTTTCCTTCTTCAGCATGACCAAGTGCTTCTTGGCACTGTACTTTAGGACCCTGAACCAGGTGTTTTGGGCAGCCACTTTACTATTTATTCCACAGGGATTCAATTAGAAGAAATTTCAGAAGATGTCTTGAGAAGATGTCTTGAGAAGGGAAATATTGCCATTTGCATGGGTCCTTACCTTGCTCAGACTCGCTGCTACCATCTCTGGTCTTCATCTTGTAATACGGTTCATTGCAGTAGTACTGGATACGGGCCTGGTAGGTGTTTACCCCCTTTGTGGTGGTATAATTGAAGGCCCCATTACGCAGGCTCCGGGGCTGCCCACAGTCCTTGACTGGGAGAGAACACAGGGCCACATGAGAATTGACGATGGAACTTCGGTGAGAGAAATGTGAGCTGTCTACCCACAGAACAGGCTGAGGACTTTAGAAAAACAAGTTTCTCTATTGGGGGGCACTTGGGATGAATGAAACCTAAATGGACGGAAGTTCAGTCCTGAGCAGAATCCATCAACCCTATTGAGGCGAGGGTTGCCTGGTTCCTGAGATGGCCATAGGCTTTAAAGAACAAACCAACGGGAGGGTCTTTTGGGAAAAGGCTTATTTCCAGACCCCTCCCTCCTTCCCTTCTCAGCCTGGGTCCCCCCAGGCCGGGCGGTGGGAGACACATCCTGAATTGTGACTTACTCTTGCACCTGGGCATGGCACGATGCCACGTGCCATCATCCTGGCAGACAGCTGTGAAGGAGAGCAGCTCCTGGTTCCCCTGTTTGAGTAGAGGTGCTATTAATAAAGGAGGCACTGCAGCTCCCATCCTGCCCTTCCCCACATGGCAGGTAGTGCAAAGACAGTTCTCAAACTCTCACACCTCAGTACCCCTGTGGATGTGGCTCTTTCATCCTTCTCCCTGGCCAGGATGCTCAGACCAGAGTTAAACATGGGAGCACTGAGTCATACAGGAGAAAGTCAGAGAAAGGGCTGTCAGACCCAATAATCCTCTCTCTAGACTCTTGTCTATTTCCACTGAAGTCTAGTTGAACCCCACAATTTTATTTATTTACTCACTTTATTTAACAATTTTTTCCCATTATAGTTGATATTCAGTATTATTTTTATTTGTTTCAGATATATAGTATAGTTGTTAGACAATGATATAATTTACAAAGTGATCCCCCTGATAATTCAAGTACTCACCTGGCACCATACTTAGTTATTACAATACTAGAGGCCCAGTGAACAAAATTTGTGTATGGGTAGGGTCCCTAGCAGCTGCCGACCAGGGCCTCCTTTCATTTCACATTGCCCCCTCGTGGTCAGCACATGTCATAGTGAGCGATAGAACTCCTAGTCGGTTGAACTCCCGAGGGGACAATGCATATTAGGCTTTTAAAAAATATATATATCGATATATTTTTATTGATTTTTTTTTTTTTACAGAGAGGAGGAAGGGAGAGGAATAGAGAGTTAGAAACATCGATGAGAGAGAAACATTGACCAGCTGCCTCCTGCACACCTCCTACGGGGAATGTGCCCACAACCAATGTACATGCCCTTGACTGGAATCGAACTAGGACCTTTCAGTCCGCAGACCGATGCTCTATCCATTGAGCCAAACCGGTTTGGCTAGGCTTTTATATATCTAGATTATTGATCATATTCCCTATGTACTGTATGTCCATTTGAATTACTCCTGGGCCAGCTCTCTCCCTCAGCCCTGGCCTCTTACCTCCATGAGCTGGTAGCCTTGTTTGCAGGTCACGATGAAGTAGTCACGGAATTGGTACTGAGGCTGAAGACTCTGGATGATGGTGAACTCGTCTAGGGTTTTGGGCTGGGGGCACTTGATGACTGTGGCGGAGACCAAAGGATGAGTATATTTTAGAGCCACTTGCCTTCATTCTCCCTGCCTGATCCTGCCCCACTGCTGGTCAGCGAAGGAGGCCCGCAGGCAACCTTACTTGAAGTGGTGTAGTGCAGCTTCCAGCCCCGGCTGTCCCCTGACTCGTCCGTGAAGAACAGCAGATCCACAGCGTTGCTGCTGGTGTCAAGGTCAGCGGGTCTCTGCTTCCCACAGAACTCGCCGATGTTCCTTCCACTGGTATAGATCTGGTGAGGTAGGAGGGAGGGTCATCTCTCCAATGCAGACATTTCCCCATAGGCGCGGGGTGGTGGTGGGAATCTTGCTTTATGTTTGTTTTCAGCTGGAGGGGAAAAGGGATCCCCAGGACCCACTTCCAGATGTACAGGAGCTTGCCCAGCCCATGTGTGATGTTGGACATTCCTGTCCCAATTGGCCAGAGGATCCAGCAGGCAGTAGGGATTAAAAAGAACCCAAGTGCGGATGGAAGGAGAGGGAGGGGTTTCTCTGAGGGTGGGATAGCTGTACCTGTAGCTGGTCATAGGGGCAATGTACTTGCTGGTGGTCATCGATTTCAAAAGGCTCCAGGAACTTGAGGTGGATGGTGTAGCCCCGCTCCACCCGGATGCTGTAGTTGCAGCGCAGGTCAGGAGGGTAGGGCTGGGGGTACTCCAGGCTGGACACGTAGCCTGATGGCTCTGTGTACAGCTCGCTGCTGCATTCAACTGTGAGAGCACAGCCGGGAGGGGGTCACCAGGAGACTCTCTGGCTGGCCCAGCAAACCCTTGTTAGCTTTTACCTCTCTCCCACACCACCCAACCTCACCCTGGCAGGAATGTCCGTCCTTCTGAAGCTCATAGCCCGGACGGCAGGAACAGAAGTAGCCGCCAACGTAGTTGTGACAAAGCTGTTGGCACCGGGGCTGGGGATTCTTCTCAACTGTGTTTTGTTGGGAAGCACATTCATCGAGGTCTGGAAGAGATTCCGGGGGGATTAAATTCCTGCCAGGGGACTTCTGTAGCGCTGCTGGTCTCAGAGCATCTCTCACCAGAGGCCACAAGACCATGTTAGCTCCTGCCACCTGGACCTCTAGGCCTCTCTAATGTTTTCTGGGAGCTACCCAATGGGGACAGAACCCAGGCTGGAATACCTCTTCTGGAAAAAGCTCTCTCAAGGGGGAAATGAGGAAGGCCAGGCTTCCTGCTTCTTTGTATTCAAGAGTCCCTCTTTCCAGTTCCCATTCAAAATGACAAAGGCCTTCTAAAGGGTACCTGGGGACCACTCACCCACAGCTTGGTAGTAGGCCAGGAAGCCTTTGTAGAACATGACGGTGCCATTCTCTTCATTGGAGAAGTCTGTGTGGAAGGTCAGCAGCATCTTGTTTCCTTCGGATATAAATGCCTTTTCTCCTGGGGGGTTGCCCAGTGGAGAACCCAGTTGCCCACAGAACCTCCCGAGGGTTTTCTTATCAGCAGAAATCTGGTGGAGGAAGGACAAGGAGCAGAAAGAAGGGCTGTTGAGACACGTTCCATGTGGATAGTCAGTGATGGTCCTCCTAATCTTAGCCAAAGAGTGAATAAGTCCCACTTCTGGAATGGCCTCCAACTCATCTCCACCTGCTGGGCTCTGGCTGTCGCAAACTTCCCCAGGTGACTTTCATCTGGCACCTGAGTCTCCCATTGGCCAGCTCTTTTCATGTTCTCCTGTGCCCCTCCCCTGTTTATGTGCCCCAAGCATGTTTCAGACTTTTCTTCATTCCCACCCCTTCCAATGAAATCCTGATTGCTTCTAGCCAGCCTTTATTTTTCCTTCATTCTTAGAACCTGGACTGATCTGCTTTAATTTCTATCCTGTTATTGGACCTCACCTTATTCAAACCACTCCCATCCAGTCTTGTCTCCTGATACACATAGCTGAATGTGAGTCGCAGGGGCCCACCAGCATTAGCATCGGCAAGCATCCCACAGCTTTCCTTATTTCTTTCTTCACGATTCATTAACCCATCAAAAGCACATGCCCTTTCCCCAATCCAATTCCTCACTATCCTGGCCACCAACACAGCAAACTTTCCAAGTCCTTTGCACTAGGAAGATGTAGCTTTTTCATGTTATTCTCTCACCACCTCCTGAGAATGATATTTATTGGATGTGAGTAGGTTCTGTTTGAATCCTGAATCTAGAATCTCATTTTTATTGATGCAGAAAGATGGGACTGGGAGGGTACCCTTAGTTATTACAGAGGAGAGGGGACTGAGTCCATTGTCCTTGCTGAAGACTATGCTTGAGCTACAATCTCACACATTTTCTTCCCCTGTTTCTGTGCTCCTGATGAGGCAGGCAGTCATGGTGATATCCTCCATGGAAACAGGAAAACTGAGGCACAGCAGTTTCTCAAAGACACCCATCAAGGAAACAGATGGGGAAGGTTTTTTCTGAATCCTGTAGATGGTACATTTCTTGAGAGTGGGGACTGTACCTTCCTTCCTCTGTGTTTCTCTCCCACAGTGCTCACTGAGGGCCTCTAAGACGGGTAGACACCATTCATGGCATCACCCGACTCCCAGAACTCCATTTGGCCATTAGCTCTTACAGGGCTGGGTCTGTGTCCATGGATGGGGAATGTAACCAGGGTGATGAGAACACAAGTCCTCATGCTGCAGAGTCACCCAGTTCTCCCTCTGCCCTCCCAACCTCACCTCCTACCTTGACATAGTCATAGAAACAGCCTTCAGAAGGCTCCAGGTCAAACTGCCAGAAGACGAGCTTCACGCGGTAGCCCTTGGAGACTGTGATCACAGTGGTTGTTTCAAAGTTGTTGGGGTAAGGCTTGGGGTACAGAGGGGAAGTCACCTCCCCATAGAGTTCCTGAGCGGTGGGCACGGAGCCTCCCACCTTGCAGAACAGGACTGACACCAGGAGGTATAAAAGCCACCTGCCAGAAAGAAGGAGAGTGTCTGGAAGGCTGTTTGGGCAGTGACTGGGGTGGGGGATGGGATAGTCATACCGCTGACCATTTTCCTCTGCTTGTTCTAGACCTCACGGGTGTTCCAGGTGAGTGTGGGTGGAGGGGAGAGGCTGGTCTCTGCATCTGCCTCATTGATTGTTTCTCCCCAGGGCAGAGTCCAGCCCAGAGGTCAACTGCCTTCACCTCTCTCCCCATCCTCCTCCCCTGCCCTGTACCATCACTGCCCCCTTCCTCCCCCTTCCCCCCCTTTCCATTTCTGGAATAGGGATGGCTTGGGACCAGCTAATTGAGGGTGAGGGTTTCCCGTAATGGATCTCGTTAAGGGTACCCAAAGGCTCAGCAAAGGCCTCTGGGTGGAACCGACTGTGGAGTATGGAGGAGTGTGTAGCACAGAAGACACCCTACTGAGCAGAGAGAGGGGGTGGAAGGAGGGGGGTTCCCCCATCTTGGCACTCCCCTTGCTATGAGCTGGGGGGAAGAAGAGGATGTGGCCATCACCTCATATGTCACTCTAAGGCCTCCTTTAGTCCTCAGGAGAAGGGATGGGGAGTGTGTGTTTGAGTGTGTGCGTGCATGTGCACATTGGAATTGATAAGGGATTTGGGGAGGAGAAGGCTGTTCTTTTCTCTCCATATATTTGGGGGGCAGGTTTGCCTCCCATGCCCAGGGTTCTCCTCCGGTATCTTCCTCCCTCCTCAGTTCCCGTCAGCCTTACTCACATTTCTCAAGTCCTGTTTTTGGGTCCTGGACTCTCCTGACAGCGTCTTCATCCACTTTGTGCAGAGGGAGAGAGCAGCGGTCATGCAGAGGAGGGAAGGGGGAGGGAGGAACTGACTGAGGTAGGGGGAGGAGGGACCTTTCCCGGAGGAATGTTGTGGGGAATGAACTATTTGCATAAACAAAACTGAAAAGTAAAAAAAAAAAAAAAAATCTGTTTCCAGTTTAAGTTAGTTTTGTTTTTGAATTTCCTGGTAGTGCTGCCACCTCCTGGCCCACTTTGGGGAAGAGTTGGTTTTCAGGGACAGAAAAGCCTTTGGTTGGAAACCCAAACTTCTCATTTTCTAAGTCTGATCTGAATACTCCCTCTCTTCAGGGACCTTCCTAGGGACTGCTGCTGTGCTTACAAGATTCCCACCCAAAGTGCAGTGGCAATCACAGTTGAGGAGGCTCTCTTTTCTGGACTGCCCTTAGTCACAACAGCCCTGGTCCAGGAATTGCCAGGGTTTTGACGCCAAGGATGATGGACAGAGGTGAATGGGTTTTGGCTGCATTGGGACCCTGGCTTACTTTGCTCCTGGATGACACCTCGATATAGAACAGGAATTGATGCACTAGGGCCTGTTTTAAGACTCCTCCTCCCCACCTCAATGAACTCAGCTTCTAGAGAAGCAAGGGCAGCTGGGGAGTGGGTGGAGACATCCTCTTTGCCTCAGCATCTTATTAAGAATTTAAGCCCTTGAGACTCACAATTGCTTAGGGCTAGGCGAAGGGAGTGGCTGTGGACTAAGAATGACTTGAGAGGAACCCAGACCCCCTGGGATGGAGGAGAGCTCTTGTCCCTCCTGCCCACCAGGCATAGTGTCTTATTTTAAAGCTTTGCTGTTTGTGGGAAGCTTTCTTCATCAACTCCTCATGGTTCAAATGCCTTATGGCAATGAATCCCATTGGGAGACTCAGGCTGCAGAGCAGGCCCCTGAGTTCTGAGGCCTTTGTCATGCATCCTGCTTGTTTCCCTTGTTAGATTAATTCCTCTGTCACCACACCCACCCGCTCACTCCTCATCAATGGGCCACTTACTTAACATGCCAGGGACTTTCCTAGGCAATGGATTATAAGGACTCACGAAGACGGAGCCGTTCTCTGTTAGGCAGCAACAAGTTATCGCTGAATACAGTGAGAGCAGGCTCATGGAGGGTTTCTTCAGCAGGCTTATGTGTTGGAGCTGAGGAATCCATCTTATGGCAGGGCTGATCCATGGCATGACCCATGGCCTTGTAAGGTCAGGAAAGACTAAAGATAGGGAGGATAAGGACTAGATCAGGAGTCAAGAAAGAGGGGGACTCTTGTCCAGCAAATTGCACATTAGCAATCTGACAGCAGTGCGTGTGTGTGTGTGTGTGTGTGTGTGTGTGTGTGTGTGTTCATGGTGGGGGCAGGATGGCAGAGGTAACAGGGAAGGAGGAGGTGTTCTGAGAAGGTAAGTCTTTTTTTTTTTTTTTTAATGTATTTTATTGATTTTTTTTTTTTTTTTTTTACAGAGAGGAAGTGAGAGGGATAGAGAGTTAGAAACATCGATGAGAGAGAGACATCGATCAGCTGCCTCCTGCACATCCCTTGGGGATGTGCTCACAACCAGGTACATGCCCTTGACTGGAGTCGAACCTGGGACCTTTCAGTCCGCAGGCTGACGCTGTATCCACTGAGCCAAACTGGTTTCGGCCTTAGAGTATTTTTAATGGTCTTTGTATTATATACTATTGAACTTTGTAAAATAGAAGTTAACCTTTAACTGTACAGCTAACTTGATTTTCAATACTAGCAAATTTGCTCTCTTTCTGCCTTAGAGTATTTTTAATGGTCTTTGTATTATATACTATTGAACTTTGTGAAATAGAAGTTAACCTTTAACTGTACAGCTAACTTGATTTTCAATACTAGCAAATTTGCTCTCTTCTCTGTTTCATTCATTTTCTGGTTCTATTTGAATAAGCGTATTTTATTTGCAACGTTTACTCTAAATCATCAATATGTCCTCACTAAAAATTAAATAGCTGGTCCACTCAGGTGGATGATGGCCTAGGGTGTCCAGCAGCACTGGTGGGGTCTATGGGAACATCCAGCCCAGGGCTGGTCTCAAGATATGGGGTGTTTGCAGGAGATGGGGCCCCAGGAAAGTGTGAGCCCGGTGCCATCCTCCCCACTGAAGCAGGAATTCCCAGGAAGAGAGTATCTGTAGGGATGTGGGGTTAGGAAGGGGAAGTGGGCGATACATCAAGTCTTGAGGACAGCTGAGAAGTGTAAAGGTGCATTGGAAAGCACATGGCCTTGGCTGTCCCAGACAAGCTGTGGCACTTGGGCAAGTCACTTTACCCCTCTGAACTTCAGTTTCCTCGTTTAAAATGTGAGTCAGCAGAGAGGAAAAAGCTTTGCATTGAGTCTTGAAAAAGCACTCCCACAGTAATAGTGTCCAATAGTTCATAGATGAAAAGTTGATCCATATATTTACTAACAAAGCTTAAAAGTAAGCCTGAAGCCCTAGCCTATTTGGCTCAGTGGATAGAGCATCAGCCCGTAGACTGAAGGGTCCCGGGTACGATTCCAGGCTCAATCCCCACCAAGGACACATGCCCGGGGTTGCAGGCTTGATACCCAGTATGAGGATGTGCAGGAGGCAGCTGATCAATGATTCTCTTTCATTGATATTTCTTCCCCTCTCCCTTACTCTCTGAGACCAATAAAATATATATGTTTTTTAAAAGTAAACCTGAAAAGATCAAGTAAATTCCAATAAAACCTGCATCCATATCCTCTTTATCCAATCATGTACTGAGGGACACTTCCATAGCCTGTGACACATATATACAATGGAATACCCCTCAGTCACAAGAAAAGATGAAACAACTGCCATTTGGGACAACCTGGATGGATCTGGAGAATGTCTTGCCAAGTGAAATATGTCAGAGATAAAAAACCAAGAACCATATGATTTCACTCATGTGGCATATAAAACTGAAAGTGATAAATGAACAAACAAACAAACAAAAACTCATAGACACAGACAACAGTACAGTGGTTACCAGAGGGGATGGGGTGAGGTAGTAAAGGATGTAGGGACTCAAATATACGGTGATGAAAGGAGACTTGACTTTGGGTGTATTCACAACGCAATATGCACATGCTGTATTATAGAATTGTACATTTGAAAATATAATTTTATAATCAATGCCACGCCAATAAATTTAATTAAAAAACTGTATCTAAAAAAGAACTCCAACAAAATGTAAAGGAGTAAAATCTATAAACCTAAGAGAAGAAAATAAAATGTGGGTCATAACACATCCTTTGCAAATTTGCTGAGAGGAGTCAATGAAATAACATGTGTGAAAGCTCCTGGTGTACAGAATATGTAACAAAAACCGAGCTGTCACTGTAATTGCACCTGGGAATTGTGGTAGGTGGTGCAGCTGACAGTTTGAATATTTGAAGGTCAATCAAAGAGATCTGGGAATGTTTCAAAGATGAAATGCCATTGAGACCACTTCCCTCATACACCACTTAAACAGGGGGATGAGAGTGAACCTCAGCAGAAAGTAAAGTTCCAAGTGAAACTCACGGAGATGTTCAGGGCTTCCCTGGGCGCTGTTTAAACTCACAGGAAGGTGGAGAGTGAGGAGGGATTGGGGGACACCCTTCTTATCTGGGATGAGATCAGCCTTGAGCAGAGGAGGAGTTCTCTCTCAGTGACTCGGATAAGGACTTTTGCCCAACCCCTCCCCACCCACAGGAATCAGTCTTCACTCTCAACACTCTTATTCTGGGGCCTCCACAGTGCTGGTGTCATTGCTCAGTGCACCAGGGTCAGCCCTTCCCATCCATCACTTCCTTGATCCAGTCCACGTAATTGAGCACTTTGGTGTAGAAGCCGTACCCTTTGCCACACCCAATGCCCCAGGATACGATGCCCGTGGCCACCCAGTGATGGGCATGGTCATCCCACACTACATAGACGCTACCGCTGTCCCCCTGGCAGACACTCTGCTGCCGTGCCTTATCCCCGACACAGAACATGTTATCAGAAAACACCTCAGTCCTCTGTTTCTCCTGAAGCCAGGCCTTGCAGGCCTCCCTTGGGGCAACAGGCAGCCTTGAGTATTTCAACTCGGTTGTTAGCCAGCCCATCTGCACACCAAACCCACTGACATAGCCCATCAGGCCACTGCGGTAGAGAGTCTCGTTGTCAGGCAGACAGACTGGGAGGAGATGGGGGCCAAGGGGGACACTGTGCTGGAGTTCCAGGAGGGCAATGTCCCCATCGAAGTTGTGGGACTCGTTCTGACGGTAGTCTGGGTGCACAACCACACGGCGCACAGGGTGGTTCCCCAGTTTTATCATCTCGTCTATGCCTGTGTGGCCCAGGAACACATTCACATTCCTCTTCTTCCCGGGAAAGATGATGTCCTTAGGATAGATGGTGTGGGCTGCCGTGAGGATCCATCTGTCGTCCAGTAGGGCTCCACCCCCACGGCCATAGATACTGGTGAAGGCTTGCCAGGGGAAGTTGCCCAGCTTGGCTTTGGAAGAACCCTGGGCCTCCTGGTTCTGGGCGATGGGGGTGACTGGCTGTCCACAGACTGGGAGAGAGGAGACAGGAGAGGTAAGGGTGAGAAACCAGCATAAAGTCACAATGATTAAGGACCTACTTCTATGAAGTGCTCTTCCTCCTGCCCCCTTAGCCATATTAGGCTACTTTTTAAGACTCTTAGTGGGACCACCCTGAGCAAACTCATGTAGCAAGCAGAGTTTGCCTTCAGTGTCTCTTGTCTCTGTTTTATGTGTAATTTCTTCATTAAAAAATATTTCTATTGATTTTAGAGGGAGAGATGGAGGGACAGAAGAAGAGAGAGAGAGAGAAACATTAATGAGAGAGAGAAACATTGATTGGCTGCCTTCTGCATGGCTCCTACTGGGCGCGTGCAGAATCTAACTGGTGACCCTTTGGTGCATGGGATGATGTTCAACTAACTGAGCCACACCCATGGCCATTTCCTCATTTTTAACATCTCTCACTACTACTCTCCTCCAACTCACTCTAAAGTCCTCCTTCAGATTGCCCCTAGAGCTTTTTGTGGATCAGAAGTAAAATCTGAAAAATTTATTCAAATGGGTTAAAAAGGCAATGGTTTGACTAAAAAAAATGGGTTTCAAAAATGGTAGGCTTGAATCCTCAAATACTGCTGATGGGAATTTAAAATGGTATAATCATTGTGGAAAACAGTTTGGCAATTCTTCAAAAAGTTAAATATAGAGTTATGATAGAAGCCAGCAATTCCATTCATAGGTATATCAATATACTCAAGAGAATTGAAAACATACATTCAAACAGAAACTTGTACATGAAGGCTCATAGCAGCATCTATACTAATAAAAGGGTAATATGCTAATTAGACTGAATATCTTCTGGATGTGCTTCTGGACAAAGCCATGGTGGTGGGGGCTGAGGCAGAAGCAGTTAGGGGTGATCAGGCCAGCAGGGGAGGACAGTCAGGGGCAATCAGGCCAACAGGGAAGAGAAGTTAGGGGGTGATCAGGCCAGCAGGGAAGAGAAGTTAGGGGGTGATCAAGCCAGCAGGGAAGGCACTTAGGGGTGATCAGATCAGCAGGGGAGCAGTTAGGGGGCAATCAGGCCAGTAGACAGAGGGAGTTAGGGGAGATCAGGCTGGCAGGCAGGCAAGTGGTTAGAAGCCAGTGGTCCTGGATTGCAAGAGGGATGTCCGACTGCTGGTTTAGGCTAGATCCCCATGGGACATTCCCCAAGGAGTCCCAGATTGGAGAGGGTACAGGCTGGGCTGAGAGACCCCCCCTCCTGTGCATGAATTTTATGCACCAGGCCTCTAGTTGTCTATAAAGGACAAAAAGTGAAAACAATCCAAATGTCCATCAATTAATGAATAGATAAACAAAATGTGGTTTAAAAACACAGTGGGATTCTATTCACTCATGAAAGGAATGAAGTATGGATACAAGCTATAATGTGGATAAATCTTGAAGACGTTATGCTAAATGACAGAAGCCACACACAAAAGGTCACATATTGTATGATTCCATTGATATGAAATGTTCAGAATAGGCAAACCAATGGAGACATAAAACAGATTAGCGGTTGCCAGAGGATGGGGAAGGGGAGAGTTGGAAGGACAGTGGGTTTCTTTTGGGATGATGGGAATGTTTTGGGATTGGTGGTAATGGTTGCACAACATTATAAATACACTAAAAATTACTAAATTGTACACTTTAAAATGGTGAATTTTTCATTATATGAATTTTATTTCAGTAAAACAAACAAACAAATAAAAAAGGTGGACTTTCTGGTCCTGTGGGATCTAAGAAGGGAGATGTTCTGGTGACAGAGAGACTGTCCCTAAAGCATTCCATATCAAGAGAGGGCTTTCTCTTATTACAACTCTGTCCCTCTGTCTCCTTCACTTTTCCATATGATTAACTTCCTTCATGCTTTTGCTTCCTTAGTTATCTCTTTTTTTAAAAAAAAATATATATATATTTATTGATTTCAGAGAGGAAGGGAGAGGGAGAGAGAGAGAAATATCAACGATGAGAGAGAATCATTTATTGGCTGACTCCTGCATGCCCCAACACTGGGGATCGAGCCTGCAACCTGGGCACAACCTGAGCATGTGCCCTGATAGGAATTGAATCGTGACCTCCTGGTTCATAGGTCGATGCTCCAACACTGAGACACACCAGCTGGGCTTGGTTAACTCTTGATCTTTGGAGAATATGGGACAATCTCTTTGCCTCTTCTTTTCTGGACCTTCTTGGCTTCCCTCTTCTTCCACCCCTTCTGCCTTTATTTCTTCTTTCTATTTGAAGGCTTTCCTCTAACCCCCTGTATCCTGGTCCTCAAGCCCCTGTTTGGAAAGTGGCCATAGTCACAGCACTGGTAGGTCACTACTCACCAGGCACACAGTGAGGAATCTCCTCTTTGTCCAGTGTCTCTTTCCCAGGGCTCTGGGCTCTGCAGGTGAGTGTCTCTGAGGAGTGAAATGAGGTGAGGCTCAGAACTGGGAGGTGGGGCTAAAAAAGTTGGTGTCACAGGCCCCTTGGAGGGAGTAAGGCAGATAGATGCTGGTTCCCCAGCAGGTGGGGATTCACCTGCTGGCACCGCCTGATAATAGGGCTCCTGGCAGTGGTTCTGGATCTTGGAGGAGTTGTCTCCAGGGGTGTGTGCAGCCTCAGAGCTGCCACTAACCTGGCTGATGGGCCGATTATGGTTCATACCTATAGGGAAAAAGTGGTCATTAGGACCTAGATCAGAATTGCAAACTGGCACCCCAGAGAGTGATCTGGCCCATGGCCATGTTTAGTTTGATCTATAAAGTGGTTCTTGTTTTCTTTTTAAATATTTGAAGTATTTTTCACTGATCAGATGGTCAATGCTAAAGAACAAATAACTAGGACCGTGATGGGCAAACTGGCTCATGAGCCACATGCATCTCTTTGGCCCCTGGAGTGTGGTTCTTCCACAAAATACCACGGCCTGGGCGAGTCTATTTTGAAGAAGTGGCGTTAGAAGAAGTTTAAGTTTAAAAAATTTGGCTCTCCAAAGAAATTTCAGTGGTTGTACTGATGATATTTGGCTCTGTTGACTAATGAGTTTGCCAACCACTGACCTAGGATATGGGGGAGCAGGCATTTTCAGATTAGTGGGAGTGTAGGAGGGAAATTTAGCAATACCAAATTAAAAATGCATTTTTTCCACATAGCATTTCAATTTTTAAGAATTTACCCTCATATGTGTGCTCCAAGATGTATATATAAGATATCCAGCAGTATTATCTGTGGCAGCAAAATATTTACCAGTGGAAGACTGGTTAAACACATTATGACACCGATCAAAAGAATACTATATGGCCATTGAAAGTAATTATGCAACGCTAGCCACACACACACACACACACACACACACACACACACACACACACATATAATGATCTTTAAGATATATCAATGAGTGAAAAATGCTAAATTTAAAATATTGTGAATAGTATGCATGCAATACACACACACACACACACACACACACACACACACACACACACAGACCTATCCACCCACCCACCCACACAATTATATTTGAATGACATAGCTTATCTTTGGAAGAGTACCCAGGAAATGGAGAACATAGTTGTTTCTGGACAAGACTGCCAGGGACTAAGGGCCAGAGATCAGAGAAAGACTAACTACCATTTTAAAAATATTTTTATAGTGTGCATATATTATCTTTCAAAAAATTATGAGTTACCAATTGAAAAGCAATTGGTAACCTTTGGCTTCTCTTGCAAAACAAGATGATCTGCAAGTTCAGGGCCAGTAAATAGTCATGGAAACAACTGTTGAGCAATGGCTGCCCTTTAACTGCCAGCTCATCAGCAGGGGCCTGGAGGGGCAGGGAAGGTGGGCCTACGTGTTCCTGAGCCCAGTGTCAAAAGTCACTCAAGTTTCTGCTTGTAGCTTCAAGACACCAGGGCCATGGCTATGGGCACAGAGTGCACCCCTAGAGGGACACTCACTCACGGCTTGGTAGAGGACCAGGAAGCCCTTGTGGAGTCCAGTTGTCCTGTCCTCAGAGGAGGCCGGTGCACGGAAAGTCAGCTGCAAACTGTTCCCTGAGGACACAAACTCCCTCTGACCTGGGGGGCTGCCCAGTGTAGAGCCCACGTGGCCATAGAGCCAGCTTGGATCCATCCCACTCGCTGTGATCTGAAAGGAGAGGGGGGCAGGCAGGTGTGGTGTGAATCTGCAACATAAGGGGTCACAGGGTCACATCATGGGCATGGGCTTTATCCCCATCTAGGAGGTCTGCACACTTTGGGGCTGAGGAGCTGTTCTCTGTGGAACCTTGCTCAAGTAGATTCCTGTTCCATTTTGACTCCCCAGTTTCTTCCAGACCTTGCATATTTCTTTAGCCTACTATAATTATCTCATAAAGTCTACCATATTTACCTTCTTTCAAGAAGCTCCTTGGAAACAGCGTCAATAACATCATAACAACTTTGTTTGGTGACAGATGGTTACTAGGCTTATCATGGTGGTCATTTTGTAAAGTATATTAATATCGAGTCAATATAGTGAACTCCTGAAACTAATGTAATACTTTTTATCAATAATAATTAAAAGTAAATCACTAAAAAAGAAGTTCCTTGGAAATCCTAGGGTTCTTCCAATAGTCCACTGGATTGTAAGTTCCAAGAAGGCAGGAAGTACATCTATTCTGCTGACCACTGAATCCCCAATGCTCAACAGGGTGCCTATAGCACCACGGCTTCGAATCAACCATGATGCAGATACAAGTCCCTTCCATCCGCTTTCTCCAACCCCATCACCTTCCTCTTCTCTGAGTACCTTCCTGTGGGCCAACATCTGTGATGCAACAAGACCCTCTGCAAACACTTAGCTGGGGTGCCTAGTCTTTCCTGTTCTCCTTCTTTTGGAGTGTCCCTCCTCTTACCCCATGAACGGTAAATAAAGCCTCACAAGGCGTGGGAATCCAAGGACACCAGTGTACACAGTGTGGATACTCTGGCTATTGTTGTTTAACTTACATGTTCTTTAAGCAGGCTGTCTCTGTGTCAGACCCTTTTGACTGCCTTGCCTCTGCTCAAATTCCTTTCTGTGGATTCCCCAACCCAATGCAGGATACTTTGGAAGGAGTTCCTTTGCTTCATGTTTAGTCTCTATTCTGGGCACATGGCTCACTGCTCAGCTCATTTTATGGACTTATTTTTTAAATTTTATTCCTGATTTCATATTGGCCCACATCTGGAGTTCTTGCTAGTTCTTCATTCTCTGTTTCTTCCAAAGTGTCACATTCTATTCAGCCTATCTCACTGCGATCACATTAACTGGGTAAAAGTTGGTATGAAGAAAATTTCTCTGTCATCCCAAATGCCTTGTTTGGGCACATTCCAATACTGTTACTTTCCTCAGAACTATAGCAAAGTTAAGCCCCATATTTAAGAGGCCCATTATCTCTTGGGGAAGAAGCCTTTTGCGCTCTGAAACTGTCCTTTACTGATCTAAGTGGTTGTCAAACTCTTCTTTTTAGCTTCCTCACAAGTTTTTGGCTAAATAGAATCACTTAGGAGTCTAACTAGCAAAGTAGAACAAAGTAGCTGTGAGTCCTAAGACTTTGCTCCTAACTCCCTATGTGACATGGGCAGTTGCTCAGCCACTTCAGATCTTAGTTTCCTGTCCTGTAAAGTGGTCTGTGAGGCCTCTTGCTGTCAGGGCAGCATGTCCTATAGCAGCTTTCCAGCATGTCCCTGAAGAGCAATGGTGAAGATGACACGAAATACCTGCTCATTCAAAATTCATTGTGCTATGTGTCCTACATGTATGGTGAGCTTGGGTTTCATTTATTCTTTCATTTATTTCTTTGAGAGTTAGCATGCTCTAATTGCAAGACACTATGCTAAGTGCAGGAATACAGACTTGAATAAGACATGGTTCTGCTACCTAGGAGCCCATAGTCTGGTTGAGAATATTGCATTTGAGGTGTGTGTGTGTGTGTGTGTGTGTGTGTGTGCGTGTGTGTGTGCATGTGTGTGTGTGTGTGTGTGTGTGTGTGTGTGTGTGTGTGTGTGTGTGATTTGCCCTGGCAGCAGAGAGGATAAAAGAATTCTATTCCTGAGCTTGAATTTCCTCAATGACAATGGAAGAGTCAGTCTGGGCTTAAAATTGCCCATGACTAATAAGAATAGGGCTCATTGTAGGTGTAATAGAACAGGTTGAATTGAATATAGTCTTGGCTTCTGGTGAAATCAAGCTTTAAACATACATTTGTCTCAAATCCCATTAATATGACAGCAAAGGGATGAAATGGTATACATGATTAAGGACAAAACAGAGAGAGAGGACAGCATATGAGCGATGCCAGTAATATCTTGAAAGGTGGAATGGGGATGCAAAAGGGACAGCCTGACTCTGCAGAAGTGGAAGCCAACATAAAGCAAGCAGGTTCTCATCGCAGAAATTAGGATAGCCAGGCACCCCTGAGATGGAGATGAGGGAGAGGCTAATAGGAGCCTATGTAGGGAGACCTCAGGATTCTGGATCCCTTTGCCCACCTTATGCATCCAGATAACTTTCTGGCTCACCCTGGCAGGAGACCTGAGCTTGAGTCAGAGACCCTGGACTTGGGATCCCCTGGGACACTTGATTGAGGGAGTGAGGCCAGAATTGAAAACAGAAGGGTTAGGTGAAAGATTACACATCAAACAGTGAGATGCTACTGCTTGTTTACTAGAAGGCTGGCAACTCTGATTAGGAGACCAGAGGATTCCTCTCTGAGGCCGGCTGTCCCCAAAGAGAGTACTTCTGTATACTGACATTGGGAGCCCCCACAGACGTCTAAGTCACCTTGTTGATAACCTTGTTTTCAAACTTGTTTCATAAATTTCAGCTATCACCCAGAGCATCCAATATCATTCTAGTACTTCATTCTTAAATATGAATGGACAGCCAAGGATTATCAAACATTGAAGGAGAGATGAAAAGCAGAGACAAAAACAAATGAAGAGTAAAAAGAACGTGGATAAAGTAGAGATAACACAGGGACTAGAAGGAACATTTTAAAATGATTCTATTATAGGGAAAAGAGTATTGTTTAGTAAACAGGAACAGTATTCTATAAAAAGGCACATTCAGGAAGTAAGAACGAGGCTTTAGACATAAAAATATATCAACAGAAAAACTATTACAGTTGGTATTTAAAAGGAGGAAATCTCCCAGAAAGTGAAACAAAAAGACAAGGAGATGGAAAACACAACAGAACGAATAGCAAGACTAGAGAATCAGTCCCTAACATACAGCGGCTAAATTACAGGAGTTCCAGAAATCAAAAATAAAGTGAGTAGATGTCTGGAAATAATTCAAGAAATAATACAAGAACATTCCTAAAATTGAAGGACTAGATTAAAAGAGTCTCTAGATTCAAAGAACTCTTTAAAACCAGTAAAAAAAGCACATCAGGGCATATCATAATGAAAGTTCAGAATACTGGTAATAAAGAAAATATTCCAAAAGCTCTAGAGAGAAAAACAAAAACAAAAACTAAGGACCAAGAATCAATGCTATCAGACTTAACACGGAGCCAGAAGACAATGCCATAGAATTTCTGAGAGAAGATGACTTCCAACCCAGAATGAAACCTGGTTAAACAATCCATCAACTGTGAGGGCAGAACAAAGATGTTTAGGGTTATGTAAGAGTCTCTGAAATTCACTCCCACAAACCTTTTCCGGAGGAGAAAGTGCTCCTACAAAAATGAGGGAGTAAACCAGGAAAGACATGGTGATGGGATTCAGTTCCAACACAGGACAGGCAAAGGGAATCTCCAGCATGAGGGAGAAGGGGACTCCCAGAAAGTGTGAAGGCTTAGAGAGCAAAGAATTCAGACTGAAGGAATAAATCATCAAGAGGTCTGCAGGTGGGTGTCACCAATAAACAAGAGGACTCAGAGACTGACATTTGTACTTGAGTGTGCTGAGAAGAGTTTTACTTTCCTGGCTATGAGTTTAGGGAGGTTAGTAACACAGAGCTAGGCAAACCAAAGATTAGAACAAAAACCAACAAAAAATTCCAAAGTACTCCATGTAATTATTGCCTCCTGGGAAACCAAAGCTGGAGAGAAAAAAACAAACCTATAATTATTGTACTCCATCGGCTCAGATCTGAATATTTTCAAGTTATAATAATATAAACAATGACTTTAGATTTAATAAAAAACGACAGTATGGGTAAACTGGAGGGGTGGAGGGGAAACGTAGGTGGTGAAGTTCTGAGATAGAGCTAGTTTTATCATAGAAGTTAATGGGCAATATTACTAGACAGACATGAGCAGAGCAAGGCCAGGCAGAGAAACTCACCAGGGGCAGAAAGCCCCAGATGCCTAGCAAGGGGGAAAACTGGGAAAACAAGAACCTCACCCCCAGGTAACCTATCCTCCCCTAGCATATCATGCGGTTTGGACCCCTGATCTTTCATATTGCTGGTAAGGTGGTGTAGACCCCCTGACCTTTTCCTCCTTAAAGATAACATCATGCTGAGTGAAATAAGCCAGTCAATGAAAGAAAAATACCACATGATCTCACTCATTTATGGATAATAAAGAACATTATAAACTGATGAACAAAAAGATAGATACAGAGACAGTAAAGCATCAAACAGACTGTCAAATTATAGCGGGAAGGTTGGGGAGAGGTGGGGGAGATAAGAGATCAACTGAAGGACTTGTATGCATGCATATAAGCATAACCAATGGATGCAAAACACTGGGGGGAGGGGGAGGGCAAGTGTAGGAGTGGGGGGACAATGGTAAGACATGTACACATATAATACCTTAATAAAAAATTTAACACCCCCCCCCAAAAAAGAAAACAAACAAAAAAGAAAACAAAACAAACAAACAAAAAGATAACATCAAGGCCTCAGTTGTATTTCAGCTCCAGGACTAGAAAAGCAGCAAAACCTGACAAGTGATGCTGTGGCTGCTTCAGGATAAGCTACTAGTAAGTTGACTAGTAACTCCCCCTACCCTGGCACTGACCAATCAGTAGAGCACACCTAGAAAACTGATGAATATTCTTTTAAGACTCCCCCCTGAAACCTCCCCTAAGATTTCCACCTGCTAGAGAGAGATAAATATGCTTAGGACAAAGGACTCAGTGCACACTCCCCCGCAAGGGAGCAGGCCAGCACCATTCCCTTCTCCCTTCTTTTGTCTAAGGGACCCCAGGAGACCTGTAACCAGAGGAGCAATGAGCAGGGGCAGCTCCCCCCAAGCTATCGCTCCAGGCTAACTCCCCCCACCCCCAACTTGTCTCCTGGACCCCCTTTTCTCTGACTTCTCAGTGAGCCAACGCAGCCCAGCCAAGGCTTTCCAGTTGCTTCTTCCTCTGGCCTTCCTTGCTTCACTGTCCTAAGGATATTGTTGCTGCCATCATGGACCCAATACCCGTTGGCTCAGTGTTGTGTAGCCCTTCCTTTTGAAAAAAAAAATTTTTTTTATTGATTTCAGAGAGGAAGGAAGAAGGAGAGAGAGATAGAAACATCAATGATGAGAGAGAATCATTGATCGGCTGCCTCCTTGCATGACCCCCACTAGGGATTGAGCCCACAACCCAGGCATGTGCTTTTGGCTGGAATCGAACCTGGGGCCCTTGAGTTGACAGGCTGATGCTCTATCCACTGAGCCAAGCTGGCTAGGGCTAGCTCTTCCTTTTGGATATCTCTAACTCCTATCCCCTTTTCCTTAAATAAATTAAAATTTCTTTATTCACTGCCTGAGTGAATAAAGAAATTATTCACGGCTATTTAGCCTGCCTGTGCATCACCAACTTTACTCTTTCAAATGTGTTTTAAAAAAACACAAGCAAAACCAGAGTAAGCATGCTATTGATACAGATGAAAATAACTACCCGATGAAAGAGCTCCATGAATTGTAACTAATTGCCCAGGAGAGTAGATGGAGGCGGGGAGTAGGCTGGAGACAGCTGTTTCTCTTTACAGGCCTCGTAGTACTCGGATTAAAAAAACAACAACAAGAACCATGTGCATGTATTATTTTGATATAAATAAAACTTAAACCAAAAGATAACGTGAGGCACTGTTTTTAGAGTGTCCTTATTCTGGTAATGCTCTAGTCATAAGAACTTTTGCCATAGCTCCTCTAAGGTAAACCCAGTCACCAAATCTTTTGTTATTATTCATGCCCAACTGCCTGTCCTGACAGAGCAAGTATTCAGGTGTGTTTAATGACTGACGTGTGAGTCCTTGCTCTTTATTCTAGGGATTGGCAGTATTTGTGTGTTCCTTTGGGGCCAAGATGGTAGCAGAGCCAGCGACAGGGCTGCTGGCTGAGGCTGTGCACCTGAGCAGACCCTGGCCTCCCTGGTAAGCCCGCCTGTGCCCCTCCCTGACTTGGGCTCTTCGTCCATCCACTGAGATTCAGGGCACTGCCACCTCCCACTGCCCCCCTGGGCTGCAGGCCAGGAAGATCCCTCCCCAGAGTCCCTCCAGGACCCCAGCTCACTGTGACAGAGTCCGGCTCACAGTCCTGGGACAGCTCCACGCCCGAGTCCTGCAACATAATCTTCACAGCAAAGCCCTCCGGGGCCTGGATGACAGTGGTGCTCTCTTGGCCTTTGAGGTACGGCTCTGGGTACCCTGGGGACGTCAGCTGCTGGGGTAGCTGCTGGGCCAAGAGCACAGAGCCCTGTGTGGGGCAAGCCTGGAGGGCTCCCCAGAGAAGCAGCCACCACCTGTGAGGGGTGGAGGGCAAGATGAGGCGTGTGGAGTCATGAGGAGTCGGGGCAGGCTATGCCAAGGGACTGAGGGGCCAGCAAAGGCATTAGCAGCTGTGGCCTCAGCCCGGCCTGTTCCTTAGTGCCTCTCTCTGCCCCAGTTCCTTCAGCCTTCTGCGTAGCCTGAGTTCCACGGTGAGTTTCCACCACTGCTTGTCTCCCTGGAGAGTCTCATACAGAGTTGGGGGCTACCTTCTGCGTCAGCAGATCCCACCGCCACCCTGGGATCTGAGGGAGACACGGTGGTACAAGTGAGGGACAGTTAAATGTTAGTTTCCTGGCTCAGACCATTGGGCTTGATCACCCCCAGGAAAGGCTGCTAGAAGCTACGGGCAATTTCTAAGTCCTCTCTGCATTAAGTGGTTCTCTCTCTCTCTCTCTCTCTCTCTCTCTTCTCCCCTTCTCCCCCGTGTGTGTGTGTGTGTGTGTGTGTGTGTGTGTGTGTGTGTGTGTGTACATACACCCCTGGGTCCCACCCCATCCTTTTCCTCTCCGCCAGGCCTTCTCCAAGGGACACTCACATCATACGTGCACAGCTGGTGGAGTTGGGGCTTTCCCAGAGATAATTCTCCACCTCTGAGACCAGGCATCTGAAATGGGCCATCTGGGACCTTGGAGAGGACTTGGCCCAGGTTAGGGAACAAGAGGTGGGGCTGGAGAGGGCCCTGAGGGGGAGGGAGGGAGCAGTTACTGGAAATGGGTTGAGTAATTCCCTGGTTCCTTTTTCTAATTCTCTGGGTTGAGTGCCACCTACTGTCTAGCTTGGGGATAGCTCACCCACCACAACTTGAGGAGAAAAAATTCTAAAACGACTAAGGGGCTTCAGAGATCAGGGGTGGGAGCACACTGACTCTGGACTCTCTTGGACTAACTGTACAAAATAGTAAATAGTAGGACGGCTCCTTGTGAGTTATGGCTGTTGCCTCTCATCGGCCATATCTTTCCCTCCCTGACTTTCCATTCATTTATGTTACCAGCCTACCTATTGTCGAGATTGAAGTTTGTGAACTTGAGCTTCTCCACCAAGCAAGTCTGGGGCCCTCACTTAGGTAATCTTTTGCTCACAACTCCTGGGAGCTGCTCGTCCACCAGGGTCAAGTTGGCCCAGGGCTAGGATTAGGTCCCAACTGCAGCTTCTTTAGGCAGATGCCAGCAGCCATGACTGGGCACAGAGGCCAGGTTCCCTAGGAGAGACACTCATCCACGGCTTGATACGGGGTCAGGAAGTTCCTGTAGAGGCCAGTGGTCCTGTCCTCAAAGGAGGCAGGTGTGTGGAAGGTCAGCAGCAGCCCCTACAACAGGGCTGTGATCTGAAAGGGAAGGAATTGAGGGGGGAAGGGGCAGGCAGGTGTGGAGGATTCTGCACCACTCGTGGCCACAAGGTCACATCCTTTAATACAGTTGCTTAAGACCATCGAAAAACACAGATATTTATATTACAATTCATTAACAGTAGCAAAATTACAGTTATGAAGTGACAACGAAAATAATTTTATGGTTGGGGGTCACCACAACATGAGGAACTGTATTAAAGGGTTGAAAGGTTGAGAACGGCGGCCTTAGGGGCATTCCCAAGCCATCTGCGAGGCCTGGGCTCGCACCACCAATGTCTAATGGAGCTCCTAGCCCATACGCAGGGTCAGGAAATGTGTGTGGTTGAATCTTGCAAGTATGGCTAGAAAGTCTCTTAGCTGGCTTCTTTTCTTCTTCCTCCCTACACTAACCCTCAAATCCTCCTTTATTCAGCCCCACTGTTGCTTTACAATTTTTTCCTGCTACCACTCTTTAGACCTGACTTTTCCTTCTTTCTCCACCCTCACAGAATACTCCTGCTTGCCTCCAACAAACACATATGATTGTAACTCAACTATCTAATAACAGTGAAAAAATTTAAAGATACAGATATACTGAAAAATGGTACATTTCTGTATGTTTTTGATCCTGTAACGGTAATAAGGAGCTTCTTCCGGGCTCTTTCTGGGTCATTCCAAATGACCAGGCTCCTTCCCAAGCACCATTCCTCTGGGGTCCTCTCCTTCCTAGAGCCCAAGGGACAACTTGGGGGGGCAATCCCTGTCACCCCCATTCCATGAAATAATCTCTACTCAGGTGCATGCATGCTGCTCAGGTCCCGGGTGTGAATGTTCTCTTCCTTTTCATTGCTCTGCTTTTATTTGCCCCTCATCTTCCTTTCCTCCCTTTCTCCAGGCCTTTGTGCTTTCACTTTCATCCTCCTCCTTGATCTAACTTCAGCTCCGACAATGTCCTCTCCTCTGAGCGTCTTATTGCCCCTTCTTCCTGGGGAGCCTCTGACTCCAGAATGAAGTTTCTTATTGGGCTTAAGGATTTTTATTGTCTGGTTGGCCAGCCGGTGTGGATCAGTGGTTGAGTGTCGACCCGTGGGCCAGGAGGTCATGGTTCAATTCCTGGTTGGTCCATATGCCTGGGTTATGGGCTTGTGTGCAGGAGGTGGCTGATCTATGATTTTCTCTCATCATTGATCTTTCTATCTCTCTCTCCCTCTCCCTTTCTCTCTCTGAAACAAATTTAAAAATGTATTTTAAAAGAAGAATTTGTATTGTTTTCCAAGTAACAGGGGCCCAGTAGAGATGAGAACCCCATGATCAGAGCCTCTGTCTTTCTTATGATTACCCTAGGGAAGGGGTGCTGCAGGCCACCAATAAATTCCAAATCCTGGGGTAACTGAACTCAGGTTTTACTGCTTCTCTCTTCTTTTCCTTTTAAATTTATTTTTCAATTACAGTTGACACACAATATTATATTAGTTTCAGGTGTACAACATAGTGATTAGACATTTAGATATTTTTATTGTCTGGTTGGTAAGGTATATAAAGTGATCCCCCATAAGTTTAGTACCCATCTGACACCATAGTGATTACAACATTATTGACTATACTAGAGGTCCAGTGCATGAAATTCATGCAAGGGTAGGGTCCCTATGTCTGGCTGGCAAGTAGGGATAATCTGCAGGGAGGCCAGTGGGGCAATTGGGTGTGTAGAGGGGAGGCCCCTTTGGCACCTGGCTTGGCTGATCTGGTGCCACCTATTATACTTGCCAGCCTCTCCCCTTGCTGCTGCATTAGGGCCTGTGTGCTGTGGGGAGCTCCTGCATGGAGCATCTGCCTTTTGGTGGTCAGTGCATGTCATAGCGACTGGTTGTTCTGCCGTTTGGTCAATTTGCATATTAGGGTTTTATTATATAACTCCATATGCTACATTTTACATCCCTTTGACCATTTTTGTAATTGTCAATTTATATTTCTTAATCCCTTTTGCCTTTTTTTTGTCCATCCCCTCCACCCTCTCTCCCATCTGGCAACCATCAGTTTGTTCTTTGCTCCTCTCTTTCCTTTTCCAGCTCTTCCCATCGGCTGGTTCCTTTCTTCCCTGGTAGATCATTGAGCCTGGATTCCTCCAATTAATTTAAATAATTGCAGAATCTTAAACTCTCTGATAAGAAATCAAACAGAGTAATGGGATTTTATCTTTATGCTTGAAAGGAGGAAAAGAGAATCCCAAAGATATTCTTCTGGTCTAACAGATAAACAATAAATCCACAAATATTTATGCTTTCTAGAAAGCGAAAGGTTAATTAATATATTATGAGTAATATGTTATCAATCAGAATTGCAGACTTTTAACATTTATAGACTACATGGTCATAAAGCAATCATCTTTGAAGTCTGAATGCCTTTTAAGATTCCTTTGTGTAAATTATACACCAAAGATGACATAAATGTAACATGGAACAGGATTATATATTTTCACACCAGTGAGATTAGATGTTTTTGGTTCTCCACTTTATCAGAATCAACTGTATGAACAGAATCATGTCTGTACATTCTGTCCTCATGTCGCTCAGATTTATTTTGTTAGCATTTGTGAGGTTTGCTGTTTAAAACCAAGCACCAGAATTTCATTTCAGAGGATTTAGAGGGAACAAAGGGCAGGTCTGAGGAGCTTGAAATGCACAAAAGAAAAGAAAAAGTCAAGTGTAAATATTGGACACATTAGGTCTTTCATTTACAATTGTGAGTCAGGTCCCCTCAGTCCAGGCTAAGAGAGAGGGCTTGGCTCCGACGAGGCGATGGGGCTGTAGCTGAGGAAAGCTCTGGGGAGCAGGAGGAGCAGAAAGTTACTGGAAATACACAGTACTTATCAGCATGACTTTAAATCTCTAGAGCAGACTCCACTGTGATCTGGCTTAGGGATGACCAAAATATTGGAGCTGATTTTTACCCCACTTGAGGCTTAATATTTCTGAGACCAGGAAAACCTCTTAACCACCCACAATCAGACTTAACTGAAGGAAAAGCTAAAGAAAGTTCTCTGGGGACCATGCCATCTGCCTACTTGTAGTTTTTAAATTCTCTTTCTCAAAGCCTCTACTTCCATTTCTTTATGCTCCCAGGTTTCTACCCCTGCCTTTCTTTTCCAGGCCAGGTGCTCGGGGGAGAAGAGCGAAGGCCATGTGGCAGCACCAGGACCCGACCTCATTAATATGAGGTTGGGAGAAGGGAAGCCTTTGGTGAAGGCAGTAGAATTCACCTCCGTGGACTCCTCCTCAGATTCTGGTCCGCACTGTTCCTCCTTGCCCTGAGTTGGAAACCTGGAGGTTCAGCCAGTGTTTGAGGTCCTGCCTTCTCATTGGGTGTCAGAGCAGGTAAGGTGGCTGGCTGTGGACTGCTTGGCCCATGATGCTTAGAAGTCCAGGTTGGGGCACAATTTAGGGAGGAAGCAAATGATATCCCAGAAGAGGAAGCTTTCTATTGACACCTGCAAATAAAAAGCCAGGACCTGCCGAAACCAGTTTGGCTTAGTGGATAGAGCATCAGCCTGCGGACTGAAGGGTCCCAGGTTCGATTCCAGTCAAGGGCATGTACCTTGGTTGCTGCCACATCCCCAGTAGGGGGCGTGCAAGAGGCAGCTGATCGATGACTCTCATCGATGTTTCTAACTCTATCTCTCTCCCTTCCTCTCTGTAAAAAAAATATATTAAAAAAAAAAAAAAGCCAGAACCTGCTGGAACAGCCAGCCTATGAGAGGGACCATTGGATGAGGAGTGCTGAACCAATCAGTAGATCATAAGGGGTAGGGATCCATAGTATGTTCTTTGTTTCTCTGATCATGTTTCATTCTAGCTACTCCTTCATCATCTAGCCATCTAAACACCTACCGTGTTTCCCTGAAAATAAGACATCCTCCAAAAATAAGACCTAGAGCATGGAAAAATAACACATCCTCAAAATAAGATCTAGCATATCTTGGGAGCAAAAATTAATATAAGACAGTGTCTTGTTTTCAGGGAATCAGGGTAGTAGTAGCCCTAACAATACTGGTGACTTCTGCGTTTATTGCCACCTAACCTGACTCACTTTATTTGAATCACTCATCACTGATTCACTTTATTGTTGTTGACACTGATAGGCCTAGCAAGATCATTAGTACCATACCCATAAGAGTATTGATTGGCCTCCTCCTGCATACCACCCACTGGGGATTGAGCCTGCAAATCAGGCATGTGCCCTGAACCACAACCTCATGGTTCATAGGTTGGTGCTCAACCACTGAACCACACCAGTC